AAATCAACCCAGGAGACTTTCTTCTCATCAGCGGTGCTGCTTCTAGACATTTCTAGGTTCTAGTGTAACAGATCCTTGTTGTCAGAGAGAGCTCACAAAATGTGATGTGTCCAACGAGAGGTCAGTCACTAGTGTGATGGAGGGGAGCAGTGAATGATGAAGTATGCCTTTATGATGTCATAGGTCACATGACCTAATTAGCATAACCAGAACCTCATTTACATAACACAACATAAACATAATTAACATAACCTTAACATAATTAACATACCATTCACATTATTAACACAACATAAACCTAATTAATATTCAGTTCTACAGAAATGTTCTAGTTAATTGTTTGAGTGCTGTCAACATGGTTGCCATAGTAGCCAAGTGGGCGGAGCCAAACCTTTTTTCTCTCCTATTTCTTTTTTCTTTAGAATTTTTTTTACACTTTAACTTCACTCCTTAAGCAGCTTCAGCGATCATTATCAGCAATAACCATTCACACAGGCTTTCTTCAAATTTATTTAGTAAAGGCTTAATTTATTTAACCAGGATTTTTTTATTTATTTACTTTATTTTTAGATAAACTAAATATTTTCACTAAAGACTTTGTTTAACACTGTAAAGGTTAAAAAAGAATTAAGATTTTGTTTAATAATATTGCATCACAAATTTAAGGAATGATGCTGTGCTGCTAGGATCCTACAGTCAGATTGTCTCCCTATTGGCCAACATGATCATCATGTAACAAAGAATAATTATTATTTATTAGATAAATAGCTTACAGAATATGAAAAACATGGAAAAGAATATTAAATTGAAAAAAGGAAACTACTTTAAATAAAACTGATACTTAAACAATAGTGATCATGGCAAAATAATACTGTAGAAAAAGATGAAAATAAACTATTGTTAATGTTTGTCACACTTTTAAAAAATTTTGTTAGCAATATTTTGCACTCTGTGTACAATGAAGATCAAAATTAAATTTAATTGGATATCCAATTGATGGAAACGCATTGAACCCTTCTAGAATAAGGATTGTACTGCCCTCTAGCGGATCAAACCTATTACTATAGGCAGCATTAATAAAGTTAAACAAGCTAAATTGTAGCATTTTCTGTAGATTCCTTCAAAATAAAACATGCCACTTAAAAAAAAACAATGGTTTTAAATGAGTGAACAGCATAGTTAGTCTAAATTATGGGAAAACCATAGTGTCTCCACTTAAACAAACTGCTATAACTCAATAAATATATTTGAATCATCTGTGTTCAATAAGCTAAAGAGCACACTTGCCAGCTAGCTTTTTTCACAAAGGTCCAAGTATACAAATTAATATCTATCTATCTATCTATCTATCTATCTATCTATCTATCTATCTATCTATCTATCTATCTATCTATCTATCTATCTATCTATCTATCTATCTATCTATCTATCTATCTATCTATATTTTTCTTTCCGCCCTCTAGCGGACAAAAATGTTACTGCGGGCAGTATTCATTAAGCTAATCAATACATTACTCATTTGCACTTCCTGGGAGTTCCTTCAAAATAAAGCATACAACTCATACAAACTACTTAAATACAAATAGTTAATACATCTATTTTAATCGTTTGTGTTCAAAAACAGTAAATCAACGAGCTAAATCAGGAGCTAGCAGCAGTTAGCTACACCACTAAACATATAATATCATACGTCCTCTGGCGGCGAAAAGGGGAAACGAAATCAACTTCGAAGACTTTTACCCTAATAATTTAAATTAAGTAAATAATAGGTATTATAAAATGAACATTTTATTTACACAATTTGACCAGCATGAGTTTGTAGTTTTTAATCAAACATGTCAGATATAAAACTTAGTTATTAGCCCAAAGACAAATGCCCAACTACATCTAATGAATGCACACAGAGACATTGAAATAAAAACATAAAAGGTTTTGTTTTAAACTAGAAAAGCATCAATGTATTTGAATTTCACAATGATTGTATAAATTATTCATGGTTCAGAGCTCCTATAAACAAGTCAACCCACAAATTTACTCTTGATACAAATATCGCATCCAATTGTACTCTCAAGGATCCTCAGACTTTGGCCTTTCATTTACACACAAATCAAAAAAGCATTGTTCTTTTATTAGCACAATATTACTTAAGGATAAACAAGTTGTCACATGTATTATGTTTAGGCTGGATTATAATAAATCTAATTTACTAGAATGTCTGCTGGGAATGTCTTTCTCCATGTTTATCTTTAATTGGCTAAGCAAAAAAAATCATAAACAATCTAGAACAAATGATCTAATCTTTTGTTTACATGTAACACCTTTAACAACAAAGCTCCATAATGATAAATTAATTCAGTGCCAAAATACACACAACAGCAACACAAGTTTGGAATTTATGTTAATTTTAAGGCTTCATTTATTATTCCAACATTAAATGAAGACAAGCAGCAAGCTGCAAACTCCATCATCGGGCTGAGATTGTATGATTATGCAACTCCATAAAACAGCTGTTTCAGTTTTTTTTACAATACGTGACACAACACATACAGTATGTGATCATACGCTTTAATGCATTAGCTTGATTCATAGTTGACGTTCTTTGAACTGCTGATTTATATCTTCACAAACATTGTTCTACATCATCTGTCAGGTTGATGCTTTAAACAAAAAGTATCATTAAAGCATAATTTCATCTTTCTGTAGAACACGACATTCACAATAAAACCCTTTTTAAAAAGTCTTTGCTCAGAAACTTTCAGCTACTCAAACAACTTGAAAACCCGTGTCACCCTGGACACAGTCTCTTCGACTCGCTCCCATCTGGCTGGAGGCTCTGATCCATTTGGACCAGAACCTCTCGCCACAAAAACTGTTTCTTCCCCTCTGCGACAGACTCATGAACGACAATCATAGAACTGCCCACGCCAGCTGCTTTGTTTCAGTCACATGACCCTAGTGTTACGATTGCACCTGAACTGACCCGCTCTGACCAGAACTGACTTGTACAAAGTAGCTGCTTGCCTGTGTCTTTAATTATTGACTCCCTTATATTATAATTTCATTGCGTTTATTTCTTAATTCTAATTTTGCTCATCATCTCCTTAGTTTTTTCTTGCAACAGGTACCGCAGCAATTTCTTAACATGATCCTCTCACCTAAGGCAATAAAACCCTTCTGATTCTGAAATGAAACTCTCCTTCTGATGGGACACGTACAGTATGAATGAAAAATCAGCAGCTTTCTTTTCACAATAAAGCACATTAAGGAAACATATTCATCTAATTAGCTCAATTTTAACATATTCTATCCACATTTTAAATAAAAACTGTTTGCTCCAAAACTTGAAATCTATATAGAAATTAAAATTGTGGCTGTTTAAATGGCCAAAAAGAAAAAAACAGGCACGGTTTGTGTGACGCAGAGTTCAATCTCCAGCCCAGTCGCAGTCACAATCAAGGGTGATAAACAGGAAGTACTTTGACAATGTCTTGCCTACAGATAGGGCATTTTGGTTGTGGCAGGGATTGGAAGCAGAGGTAGCAGCAGCAGACGTGTCCACAGTCTAACAGGACGCAGTCTCGCGGTTCACTGAGACAAATTAAACAGATATTTTCTCTGTAACTGCCATCCAGCACTGCACGTGGTCCAGCTTCATTAGCATGTTGTCTTTCAGCTTCAGCCCGCAGCCTCGCAAACTCCTTTCTGTCTTGTTCCTTCTTCGCCTGAACTCTCCAGCGATCATAGTAGCGTAGACCGACCCAGAGGAGGACTGCAGCTCCTGCTAAAGCAGAGGCAACAGCCAGCGCCTTCCACCAAGCAGCCATGCTGTCGTGCTCTCTTTGCAGAGTATCAAAGTCTGCAATGCTTAGGAAGTATTGAGAGCCATCAGAGGGGGGGCGGAGACTCAGAGTGCCGTCTGTATTCAGTTTCAACTCACCAACGCCAGTTAGAATTGTGTCCACCTATAAAAGAGTTTAACATTTGCACACAGAATTAGGGGTCGGTCGATATATCAAACCAATATGTACAGTTTTTTGTTCGACAGCGGCTGATGTTTGTCCTTAGTAAAGCCAATTTAAAGTCTGGCACATCCTCGGGCAGTCTGGTGTTGTTACAGATTTTAATTTAAATCTATTTTTACATTCACTAAGCACATTTAGCATAACAAATACTCAAAATAGACTTTATTTAGATGTCTGACTTAAGCACTGAGCAGAGCACAAAGTTAAATTTTAACAATCGATAAATTCTGAGTTCAAAAACTGATTCAGCTTCAGAAGTTTTGTGCATCAACCGATGTTATTAGTGACATTTTAGCGTGAAAGTAAAGCAGAAAACGTCGCTGCCATAAAAATTGGCTGTACATATTGACCATCGGCTGACCATGTCGCCTACATATCGGCATCGGTATAGACAACAGATAAACAATATCGGTCGACCTCTTCACAGCATCGATGATTTCATGTGTTCCTGATTTACATGAACACATGAATTCCCTATTGGGAAGTTAATAAATATATCATCCAACAACTTACTTTGAGCATTTCCTCAATTTCCAGGTGACCTTTAGGTTTCACCCCGCTGACGTACTGTCCGAGAAGATCTCCCAATCCATAACTAGCCTGATTAAATTTCTCATAGGTGACTTCAGTGTATTTTCCAGCTGCTTCAAGAGGGCTCAGGACTCTGACTACAGTCCGATCCGTTCCAGCCAATGCAAAGGGCAAAGTGTTTACTCGTTGGTGTAAGATTCGCTCGTCGTCCATCCTTTGATGAAGAAAACATAACAGCAAACACTTAACACACAATAACAGAGTTGTATGGATTTCAAACAAATCATTCTGTGAATAAGATTCTCACCAAATATGTGAAAAGCCGCTCCACACCAGCCGATGTTCTTTCAACGTGATTTTTTGCAACACACCAACAATTTCTTTTTTGAACTGACTGCTCAGATGTTCGTCTACAGGCTTCACATGTCCTACAAAGATTTTAAACACAAGAGGGCAAGAATAAAGGGCTTAGATGATCTATATTGTAAATTATTTTTTTTTATCAAAACATGGATCTTCTGCATACCTTCTATGACAGCATATTGTAGACATGTTTCTGGAGTCACTTTCAAAAGGTCTTTAAGTTTTGCATCTATAGTAAAATGTGGAGCATTCTGGAAAAACAAAATTGTTGAATGAAGCACCAAATATCGTTCTGATTTATAAAGCACTAAACTGTCTTCTCGACTGCCACAGCATCCAAAAAGAAAAGAAAATACTTTACAATTCATTAAAATACAGGAAACATAGATGAAAACGCATCTATTTGCCAAACAAAAATTGTTATATAAATAAAAAAGATTTAATTTGAAAACTTCGTAAACTTTCATGTAACTGAAGCGGTTTGAGTGGCAGCAGGTAAACGTCGCATCATCAGTAAAATCTACTCCAACCAATTTATCTTAAAACATCAGAAAAACAAATCTGAACAATTAAAATTTGTTGTACTAGAAAAAATACCAACTTGTAGTTTATTAGCAGTTATCCAGCTCTTCTTATAAAGATAGTAGAACAAGCCTGAGAAGCCAAAACTGGCACCGAGACACACTGCCTCTGTGAGAGTTACAGGAAATCCATCCATTTCCTCTGAAACCAGACAAGTAAACAACAATAAAAAACAACATAATTTTCTAGTGTGTACAGTTTTTGAGCAGCAAGAACATTCATTGTGAAATAATCAAACATGTCACAAAATGCTGAGATAAGTATTGGCTGAATAATTCTTCTTTCTTTTGGTTTTATTGATGACAATGTAACTGCCAGATTGTTTGTTTTCTACTTATATTTGTTTTAACAGCTTTTTTATGCATTGCTTCACATGCCACTTTTCAGATAATACTGCAAGGTTAACATCAATGAAGTGGGTAGCTTTGGAGAGATGAATATAAATGAAGGAACAAGTCTGAATTTCTTTGGACAACACACTGCCAACGATTTATGTTTTATTTCTGTATTTCTGTAAGCATTCGTTATATATTTCTTTTATTTTCTCAATAATTAATTGTTCCCTTAAGTGTTTTATTATTTTTCATGAATAGAATTGTAATATATTCACCAGTTCGAATAAAACACTTGTGTCTGTAGGTGCTTCAAGGGAACTATAGACACAAAAACATGAAATTTAGAAGTATTACATGTGTAATAAAGCATAATTCTTCTTATCTAGGAGTTAGAATTAAGTGAATAAAAGCCCACTGATGAATGTTAAATATATCACTTAATAATAGAGAATAAGAGTTTCTAAATAACTTATTTAACATGTGCATTTGGGAATTTATTCATAATGTAAATTTCGACAAAAGAAACACACCAATGTCAGAACATAGGAATCTTTAAGAACTTTTTCAAACAAAAAATGTGGCATGAGATAAATTTTAAGCTAATGCAAATCAATTTCAAACTGAAAAAGTAGCAAACACACAAACACTAAGCTGAACAGAAAAAAAGAAACTGGCTGTTTCACAGAACGTTTATTACAACTAAGATTTAGTAGTAGTGTATTTCCCTAAATGTGTGGCGATATATAAAAAAAACTAAGATGTACTATAAGGTTTTACTAACTAGTCTCTTGGAGAATCTTAGCTGTTTGCTAGTAAAGTTAGCAGCTAGCCTGAGCAATGTCACTAACTATCAAGGCACAATTTAACAACATAAGTAACAATATGTGACACAATGAACGCAATTAAATATATTTTGATAACCAAGTAAAATGTAAAACATTTATTTCCTTACCAGTGAAAGAGAAACCTGTTAAGCTGACATATCATAATGAACTGTTTTGCTCATGTCACGTGATGTGGGTGTTGGAAACGTCACGTGGCGAGTGTCATGCGCATGTCTGCTGCGGTCCCTTTCCTCCACGTCGCTTCTCTTTCCGCCGAGATGGCAGGAGGCGTGCGAAAAAAGATTAGCGTTTCCCCCCACCCGTTATGGAGGAAAATTCACACACTCTGGCAGAACAAGCATTTAGTCTTGTTCAACACAGAATACACGTTGCTGGTTGTTTCAATTTTATGGTTCCTGGAGATTGGAATCAACTGTTGGGTCATACAGAAAGTACCATGTAAGTAGCCACATTGCTAGTTAGCTTGCTCTGGTGTTTTGTCACTGTTTTCAATATATCTAAATGCTAACTAGCTAGCCTTAGCAAACAATAAAAATAAACACTGCGACCTGTCAAATGTCAAACACTGCTCTGTCTTTTTCCTCTTTTAATGCAAGTGTGGGTCTCAGGTTTTATTTTTGATTCTTGTTTCGAATTTAATAGTTGCTTTTTGTGCATTAAAATCACTGCAGTGGTTTCTCATTACCTGGCTATGTAGAAATCACATCTACTGTATTTATTTAATCAACCCTTTGAAAAAAAATCTTTGTTGCTTATTATTATTGTTGTTTTGCTGTTGTCGGTAGACAAAATACAGGCTCATCTCTTGTCTGTTTGTGTCTGACTTATTGAAAAGTTAAAAAGACATTCATTTCAATATAGCCGAGTAACTGACCCAAGAGAAGCCAATATGTTATTATAATTACTTTAAAGAGGTCCTCTAACTCAGTCACTGGAAAATGAACTTGCTTAGAGGTTTTCAACATTTATACCAAGTTATTCTATCAGTGTGTTTTGTCTTTAATTCAGACTTGGTCCAAATAGAATAATAAAGTGCAAATAAATATCTAATTACTCAATTATTATCCCTTAGCGTTACATATATATGATAATGTGCTTAATCTGTTAGCCATTTTCTTGCTGTTACAGTTCAAGGTTCCACAAAAACAGCGACACCAGCTGTAGGGAAAATGGCTTTGAGCATCTTTTTTTTTTTATTTTGGTTGTGCTTTATGTATGTATGTTGTCTTGTATAATCCCTGCTCTGTGGTTTTCACTGCAGACACTGAAATTGACTGGAAAGCTTACATGGATGAAGTGGAGGGAGTGATCAACGGTACCTACGACTACACCCAGCTGAAAGGAGGCACCGGCCCTTTGGTGTGAGTTCTGAAAGCTTTCACTAATGGACCCCCCCCCCCCCCCCCCCTTCCCTTCCCTTCCTCCCCCAGCGACAGCCACCTGGATTTATTGGCCTCTTGTTCTTTCAGGTATCCAGCTGGGTTTGTCTACATATTCACAGCTCTGTACTATCTTACCAACCATGGGGCGAACATTCGCCTTGGCCAGTACATTTTTGCAGGTTTCTATCTAATTACACTGCTGCTCGTCTTCAGAGTATACTACCGCACTAAGAAGGTAAGTCTGTGTTGATGGTAAGCTGGTGGTGGTTGGAGGGACTGGTGGCACCTGTGTACAGCAGCATCGCTCCTGTCAGTACGCCCCAGGGCAGGTGCGGCTTTAATGTAGCTCATCACCGTCACTGTGGGAGTGTGTGTGCATGGGTGAATGACTGGTTGTGTTGTAAAGTGCCTTGGGGGGTTGTAGAACACTAGAAGGCACTATAAAAACACATTTTAAGCATTACTTTTTAAACCTGTGTAGCATTCTACATCACTTAAAACCAGCTTGAATGTAGCATAAGTGCTTATAATCACACTAAATACATTTTCAAAAATGGGACCCTCTGCGCGTTGTCCACTAACTAATTGGTGCTCGATGGCCAATGAACAATCTGAATAAAAAACACCAGGAAGGCGGAAGCACTCGAGTGAGAAAAAAGTTTAAAAAGGTGCGAGCACAAATAACGAACGTTTCGACACGGTTTGCCAAACATTTTGTCAAACCTACTTTTACTCCCAATATTCACCATGATGCCAGCAAGAAAGTAAACTTCTCTTTCTTCTTCTTCTTTTTATTAACGGTCGGATAACTGAAAAAGCAAATTGTTAGCTTTCGTTTAAACTACCTGCACAGGAACCAGCTGCTGTAAAGCAGGTAGAGACCTTCCCCTAGTGGAGAGTGCTACACCGTGCTGTTCAGTGTGAAGTTGCTCAAGTTTAGGTCAAAGTTACAATGGCAAATGTGGAAAACAAATTAGCATAAAACTATTTTTTTCATGCCTCTTAACATTCTACCATAGTATAACTATAAATATATTGCAGAGATAAAAAAAACTGTAAAAAATGAGTAAAGTGGTTCTCTTGCAAGTGTACAAGTCTTTGCCAACTACACCTTTTGGACGAAAGCAGCCATTGGATCATTTGGTCTCACCGAACGCCACACTTGTGCCCTGGGCCCTCCTTTCATTACACACGCACGTATTCAGCAACAGAACACCACTGGTGTGAGAGGTTCTCCGCTTGATAATATCGGAGAAGGAGAAACAGCCAGCTGCTACCACTTCAACTTTAGGACAAACTTAACAGAGTCCCAAAAAGAAAAACACCATTTGAAGTCAGGGACAACAAAAGATATTTGGACCTAGAAAATGGTGAATGGTGTTTAGCACTATCTTGTTTCCTCTGGCATCGCCGGTTTCCGGTTCCGACAGAACTCAGGGAAGATACCCGAGGGGAGGGGTGAGTGTTCCGTGATCGTGCTTGCGTTTGTTTGCGGATCCGTTATAACAGCTTAAAGTGTTATAAACACATTAGTTTTGCTTTAAAGCCTTTCAAAATTAAAGCGTCTTTTCAAATTTTTTAATACTTCATTTGTTATTTTTTCAGGTTCCTCCATATGTTTTCTTCTTTGTGTGTTGCGCCTCCTATCGGATCCATTCCATTTTTGTGCTGCGGCTCTTTAATGATCCAGTGGCCATGATGCTACTGTTTGCAGCCGTCAACCTGTTCTTAGATGGTCACTGGACTCTGGGCTGTGGCGTTTACAGGCAAGTAAAAGCTCCTCTTTAATGACCACCATCTCAATAATTATGCATTCAGATCTTACATGTTTCTCTATAAAATGTTCCAGATTTTATTGCCATTTGAGGGACTTTATGAAATAACAACCCAGTTTTCCTCTCTTCTGACAGTTTAGCAGTGTCTGTGAAAATGAACGTGCTTCTTTTTGCACCTGGATTACTTTTCTTGCTCGTGTGGGAGTTTGGTCTCATCAGAACAATTCCTAAACTTGCACTGTGTGCAACCATACAGGTAATACCAAAGTTTTAACATAAAACTACAAGTAGTTCTTCTGTGATACTAACTTATATTGGCGGCATTGATTCTCCATATTAATCTTTGTTTACCACAGCTCTTGCTGGGCCTTCCTTTCCTCTTAGAGAATCCGGTTGGTTACGTGAATCGGGCCTTCGATCTGGGCCGTTTATTCATGTTCGAGTGGACAGTCAACTGGCGCTTCCTCCCAGAGTGGCTCTTCTTGAATCGCTACTTTCATTTGCTTCTGCTGACTGCTCACCTCCTCACCCTGCTGCTCTTTGCTTTACGCCGCTGGAAGAGGTGAGACACGCCTTGCTGGAGGAGTGGTGATTGAAAACAGGCTGGAGAAACTGGTGTTGTAGCGTCATTTTGTCACCATATCTAACCGACTGATCTGTATTTTAAATTTAAATTTAAACACATTTAAAGAAAAATGTTTTTGTACTTTTTCTGGGCATTTCAAGCGGATTAGGTTTAGGGTTTGTATGGTGGATAATGGGAACAATTCATTAACTTTTCTCTCAGATTTAAATGTTATTAACTTTTTTATGTCCTATAAAAATAATTTTTTGTTTTTCAGACCAGGAGAAAGCATCATCGAATTCCTCAAGGACCCAAGCAAGAGGAAACTGGCTTCGCAGGGCAGCACTGTGGATCATATCCTTCTGTTCAGTCTGCAGGGCATTGTTGCTCAGTTAAAGCATTCACCAGGGGATCTAATGATGTGTGGCTTTCTCGATGTCTGCTGATCAAAATGTTACTCTAGTCCAGGGGTGGGGAACCCTGGTCCATCAAGGGCCGCTATCCAGCATATTTTAGTCTCAACCCTACATCATCACACCTGATTTCAATCAGCAGGTGATTAACAAGCTTCTGTAGAGCTTGATGAGCTGCAGAACAGGTGAACCAACCACTGAATCAGAAGTGTTGGAGCAAAGACGTGCAGGATACTGGCTCGATGACCAGGGTTCCCCACTCCTGCTCTAGCCTGGAGTTTGTTTCAATTTGCAGCTCAGCCACTAGATGTCACCCAATCTAACATTTGCAACTGAAAAGAAAGCATTTAGTATCTTCATAAATATTTAAATATCTTTTTTTTTAATGTGTCTGCTGAGTTCTGAATCAGATAATATTGAATAAACTTGTTATATTGGGCCTTAACACACGATCACAGAAAGTTCTGATTCTCTTTACGTCTAACTTTGTCGGCATGTGCTTCAGCCGTTCATTGCACTACCAGTTCTACGTGTGGTACTTCCACACGCTGCCTTACCTGCTGTGGAGTGGAGGTGTCAGGAAACTGGCGCACCTGCTCAGGTAAAAGGAAGGCTGAACCAGAACTTTCATCCTTACAGAAAAGTGCATCCTGAAAACGAGTGTCTTTCTTCTGTGCAGAGTCCTGATCCTAGGGTTGATTGAGCTTTCTTGGAACACCTATCCCTCAACTAGCAGCAGCTCTTCTGCTCTTCATGTCTGCCATTTCATCATCCTCCTGTGTCTGTGGCTCGCTCCACCTCTGCACTCGTCTCATGTAGAAAAACAAAAACACTCAGGTGTTAAGGACAAGCACCACTGAGCCGAAGTCCAGTCAGACTGGAGGTTTTATTCATCGTCTTTCTCTTCGGTCCACACAGCATCCGTGCAGAGAGAGCTTTGAGTAGTCAGCTGTTTCTGAGTGGATGAAAGCTGTTGTCTTTTCGTCTTCACTGGAAGTGACAAGAGCTAAACCGTTGGTTTGTACAGGTGCCTGCACCGTGTGATGTGCAGTTGAGGAACTGAAACAGTGGATTCTCAGGTGACCGTTTTAGTGGCAATATTGGAAGCAGAATGCAAACACTTTATTAAAACCATCAGGAGTGTTTTGTTGTTTAAAAATAATTTGTTATAAGGGTTACTGAATCTTTTTACTTGTGTTAAACCTGCACTCTAGTTGTAGCTTACTAATTATTGTGTGCAAGATATTTAAGTGAAATCCCAAAGATTCAGAATTAACTGAAAAAAGCTTTATGTTGACATCATATCAGGCATGGTTCAGTTTTTTTTTTTGTGAAAGATTCATGTATTTTCCTCTTTGTGTTGTACAAAATAAGCAAACTGAAGAGAACTATAATTGTCTGTTTTGTTGGATTCATAGAGGCGGCAGATCTACATGCTTGTCATGGAACAGCATTTTCAAGAAACAAGGTCACATTTAAAATCAAACCAAAACTTTGCAGAAATGCTGTTTGAATGCTGAAGGGAAAGCTGAAAACTTCTTATGACCTGAACCAGAACTGAAACATAGCTTCTTGTAGCTTTGCTGATCATCTAGTTAAAATATGTACATTTTGTCTCCATATAGGTGGAGTTTACTCGTGAGCTGCGTGTGGGTTTACTCCGGTCCACAGACCAAAAGCAGACGTGTTTGGTTAAGTGGAGACTAAATAGTCTCTATGTGTAAATGGTTGTTTGTTTCTGCGATGGACTGGAGACTTGTCCAAGGTGTCCCCCGACTATCGCCCGGTGACTGCTGGACATGCATGACTAAAACAAAGGGCTAACTTCCATGATGTTTTTATTTCCACGATAGCTGAATCATGTAAGCAGATCTTTCATTAGTAAATAAATATCTTATAGTTTTCTATTATAACTGCATTTGGCAAAGTAGCCTATATAACATTGTACTTTAGCTACAATCTACAAAAAGCTTATTCAGATGGTCAAGGCATTCTTGTGTTTGCATAAATCAAAGCTCCAACGAAAGGTCACTTGGTCTATGTCGTGTAAAATTAGAGTAGACTTGGCACTGATGTACAGTCAGTGGCATACAGCCTTTAGTTTTTATCATGTAAAGATGTTTGGATATCAGTCTCACATATTATTGGGGTTGTAACACAACATGTTTAGTTTGATGTTCTCATCCCAGTGACGCAGCAGCAGAAAAAGCTGTCTGGCTGCTCCTCTGAGTCCTCCCAGGTCCACCCCCTCTGGCAGCTTCTGACAGCGCAGCCAGAAGTCTGCTTTAGCTGCTACCAGCTCCCACTCCATAAAGTAGCCGGCACACCGGTGCTCCAGCCAGGCCAAAGCCACAGCTGTGGCCCAAGTTGAACCCTCCAGATCCTCTTGAGCCAACTGGCTGCTTCCTTGAAGGCCAGCTGGCTCTGCTGAAGAGCCATCGCATACATCTGTCTCCGAGCCACGCCCGCTGTCTGCTTGCCCAAGGCTCTGGCTGATAGATAGCTCCAAGGAGCCCTCCTCTGAGCTGGGGAGATCAAGGGGTGAGGTGACAGGGTCACGGTCGGACAGGTGTCTTCGCAGAAGCCGTGACTCCAGGATTAGGGGGTTGTTGACGGGAGTGTGGTGGAAAGGTGGAGCGGACGGTTTTGTGAGGGAGCAGGAGGAAGGTGAAAAGGTGACATGGTGACTGACCGGACCCCCTGGAGGCTTGGTAGAAGTAGATAAAGAGGGAGCACTGGGTGAGATGCAGCGGAAGGCTGGGCTGAGGCTGCGCCGGTGAAGACTGTAAGGCGATGCTCTTTTAAGGCGGTCCAGAGGGATTTGGACACAATCTGAGTAGATCTCTGTCAACAAAAAAGCTCCCGAGGCCAGCTGCAGACGAACCTAAAGAAAACCCGTAATCAAGATGAAAAATTAGGGATATAGTTTGCAATTCAATAAACAGCATAAAAACACTTGTGAGCTCAATAATTGTTCCTGTTTTAAAGTTTTAGCTGATGTTTTCAGCTCACCAGGGGCAGGTAGTCTGGTGTCTCACTCTCTGGTTGTTTGTCAGTCTCTGCTGATAGGCAGTGAGACTTGAGAGGAACCTGCTTTCCTGATGAAATGGAGGACCTGAGTCGACCCAGAGGAAACCTAAAAACAGGACAAAACACTAATATTCCCAGAGCACATGGAATCAACATATTTAAATAGCTACTTTTTTATGATCGGATCTCCATTTGACCAGATCTCTTTAAAATGAAGTTCATAGAAAGTCTCACCTGGCTCCAAAGAAGCTCTCCATTGATTTGCTCTCTATAGATCTTGGTGAGCGGTTGCATGACATGCCTGTTGTTGCAGGAACCATTGAACAGTGGCCACCTACATCTAAGACAATTACACGGTATTTTTTATATCACTGTGATGGTGCAACGCTGTGTTTGATCCGCTAGACTTTAGTGAGAAATACCAATATCATGATCCGTTTAGCTGTTGTTCATTCAGTCTGTTTACCTGTGGGGTTCCAGGAGTCTTCAGCCTCGTTGTCTTCTCTGCCGGCTCGCCGTCGGCCCAGACCAGCAGAGTAGGCCCGCTGTATACGACTACCTGACTGAGAGGTTTCCCTGTTCCTCAAATGAATCCCTGCTTACACACACGGAACAGATATGAAGTAGAATCTGATATTTAAACCAAATAAAACCACAAGTTTTACCCAGCTCATCCAAAACCCTACTGTTACTACTACTTTGTAAAGATCAATACAACATTTCATTCCTCATTCATGACTTCCAAACACAGATTTAACAAAGATTAACAACGAACATCTGACCAGAGTAAAAATGGCTCTTTTTTACATTTAATTTTTTTTGTTAAAATTCTGAAAAAAGGTTTGTTTTGATGAGTCATTTGAACAAATAAAATGGACTAACTGTGAGAACATTTATATACCATCCATAGCTGTTAAGCTATCATGAAAACCAGTTGATTCGTTTTTTAAATGTTTTGTTTCTCTCACTCTTTTAGTGGGATTGAAAACAACAACAGCAGCATAACTCTGGTGATAATTTAAGCAAATGGCAAAAAAATAGTATTTTGTGCAGACAATGTTTTAATAATTTAGAAATACTAAATTTTAACTACCTTCGCTGCAAAAATGGATTTCTAAAAAAAGGCAAATGTTTATTTTATTTTTAGTCTATTGAATAAACATGTATCAAATAAAACAGCACTAGTTAAAATAAGGTACATAATAATCTAACTTTTTCTCACTCCATTGGCAGACTTTTTCTTTTTACTCAAAACAAGATCATTTGGTTTTTGTTTAAGAATGCTCACCTAATTTTAACTAGTGCTTGATATGAGTTACATTTTTTTATTGGTGAATTATATTTTTTATCATTTATTTTTTCTTTCACCAAGTACCGCAGAAATGTCCTAATGTTGTGATTCTCGCACATATGGCAATAAAACATTGTTTAGTCTAAAAAGATAAAATGTCTAAAAATTAGGCTTTTTAAAACTTTCTTAGAAAAAATTTTTTGCAATGAAGGTAGTTGAATTTTAGCATTTCTTAATTATTATTAATACAATTTATTTGCTATTTGCCAAAGTTATCAGCAAACAGAGCTTTGCTGTTGTTGGAGTGTTTTCGGTGCTGAAACTAGAAACAACGTTTGAGATGATAATAACTAGAATAAAAATCACAGCTGTTAACTGATTGCATGTACTAGTAAGTTTGAGTTGGTTTGCCCACCTGTATTGCGGATGTCCGTGCTGTCTGATGAGCCTTTGCTGCTGTTTCTATCGGTGGTGGTGAAGGCGGTGTACATGCATATGATGTTACAGTGCTTACTTGTTTGAATCGCCTTCATGCGATACCGTTTAGCTGAACCTGGAGTAAAAACATGAAGCACAACAGGATACCAATAAAACAAGGACAATATATTTACAAACAAAAAGCATAAATCAAGTCATCACCATGTCCAGGGTCACCCTCTTTTTCAGCCAATTTCTCAAAGTCTCTTATGACAGAGCGAGCTGTCAGTTGGTGAATGATCTCCTCCCAGGGATGTCCTGCGTCCTCTCCTTCGACTCCAAATGTATCGGCCTCTGTGGTAGCCTGGCCCTCAGAGGTCCAGAGGTGTCCCAGATCCACAGTGACCTCCCAGGACACAGGCCTGCCACTCAGTAAGCCGTGAATGTGGGAACGACACTGACCTGGAGGAGGGTCTTCAGGTAGGACAGCAGTGAAGAAATACTCTGGATCTGTGAAGCTATCCCAGTCCAGAGGAGACGCCGGGAACAAAAGTCCGTCTGAAGAGAGAGAGAGAGAGAAAGTGGAGAAGTAAGAAAAAAACAACACTTTTTGTTTGTTTTATCTCCTGTTTACCCACTAGAGTCTGTGACACTTCTGTGGGAAGTGTTCTCCTGTGATGGAGGCTTTGTTTCTCCATCACTTTCATCTAGCCTCCCTCCCAGAGTCTGGTCGAAGGAGACCCTCTCCAGAGCTCTTCTCAGCCGATGCATTTCCAGTTCCCCTTGGGGTGACGAGAAGCTCCTTGCCGCCATAGTTGAACGAGCTAGTGCCTTCTGTCTCCTACGAGACAGCTCAACCCCATCCAGACGCCCAACCTGAATGTGTGAAAAATACCGAAAGAAAACACAAATCAGAGTGGGGGCTCGTCCGTAAGGGCACTAGCACACCACCGTCGCTGGCTTCATGGGAGGAAAAAAATTAATGAATTACAATAAACTACAATATGTTCATATATTTATTATAAATGTGTCAGATTTGTTTAATCGTGTGTGCCAATAACTGCTAATCAAGTTCTGATCCTTTGCGTGTGACATCACGTTGCTCATGACCGCCCTCTTAGCTATTACTGACAGTAGAAAACCTGTTTACTCACATTGAAACTCCATTGAAGCTAGTAAAAAAAGTTTGTATCCTTTTATCATTTTTATTTAGTTGATTTCACAGCAAAATGGTAACAACTTGCTGTGTTGTCCGCACTAACAAACAAGGACGTAAACTCAACTCATCTTTTTTCCAATAACTTCAATGGAGACAGAAAATGGGAATGAACCGCAGCGGTCAGCCAAACAAATAGCAATCTTCAAAGTATTTTAAGATTTGCAGAAAACACATTTTACTGGGTAAGATTAACATCAGTATTAGGGGTGGGACTCTATTACAAAAATCTAATTAATCTGAGACATTGTAATTAATTAATCTTGATAAATCATGATTTTAATCGTTCAAGACAATTTCCCCCAAGCAATGTTTTATTTATTAATAATAATGTTAGTGAGGCACGTTAGTATGCCTTTAGTATGCCTTTAGTATTAATATTTATATTCACAAGGGGCCAAAAACATTAGGATTATTTTCAGCTTCATTGAGATAAGGAGGCTAAAATTCCCCCTTTTCACTCATATACGGTCAATTTAAAACTGAACTTGTAGCGCAGTAGCTAGGGGAGTAATACTTCCAGAACACCTTTTTGGCTGAACTCTCGGAAGTTTCAGCTGAAAGGGTTTGCTGCCATGTTGAATCAGCCCATCGAGATAAAGATGATGGTTCTGGTTGGGGCATCCGCTCAAGGCCTTGTGGTAGGGAACCTGTCTCCAACACAGGACCAGATGAATGAGAGTCATAAAGGAACCCCCCTCCTGCAGAGTCGGAGTGTGAGGAGTGTATGTGAGCCTGGGACTGCATTGGAAGGCTTCGCTCGCTGCTCAAGGAGCAGTGAGTCAGGACGTATTGCTCCTGAATGTAAGATTTCTCCTGGATCCTCTTCCTTATATCACTGGACCATTCCAGCTCCACACCTGTGAGAGACAAGATCACCATTACAGAAGTGTGTCCAAGTGTTAATGAGTTTTACTGACTAGATACTGACCTGGACCAGAGAAAGGGTCCGTGTCTCTAGCACAGGAAAACTCAGAGGAAATCTCTCTGGAAATTTCTCTCAAAGCCTCGTCCACATCAGCTCCCTCTGCACACATCACCACGGGCATCAGCTCAGAAGCAGAAGGGGGAGGGAGCTCTTCGGTTGACTGGCCAAACACAGAACCCATGGAGTCTCGATGTAAACTTTTACTGTCCTGTCCATGAGACTAAAACGTGTCTGAAATGTTAAACAAGCTCACGACGACTCCTATGTTTAAAATCACAGCCACGTGTATCCTACCTCTGACGTTTTCGCTTTGAAATAACTCATGTCATACAGAGTGCAATAACCAATCAAGCAGTCTCCAGGATAGAGAGGAGGGATTTCGTTAGGCGAGAGAAGAGCCTCCATGTTCTCCGGCAGATACCAGTCGATCCGAACATCCGTCAGAACGGGTTCAAATGCCTTTTTCAGAGATTTGATGAGCTGAAGGAGAGTTGAGGGTTTGGTCACAATCTTTTCAGATTTAAAGAGTCAATTTTTCAAATGTTTAGTGGAAACCGAGATGTTTGTACAATTAATTGCATAATTAAAAGCTGCTTAAAATCTTTTAGGTGACATGTCTATAAAAGGCTCATCAAACCTGGTTAATCTGTGATCCCAAATCCTTATTTGAAAGATTTTACAGAAGCTTTTAGTGCTATCATGCCAGATATTACTAGATTTATCTTTTGAGCTTGCAAACTTGAAACACAATAAATAATCTGAGACTGCCAGCTCAGAGTACAGGTGAAATTAGAGTATGGTGCAAAAGTTAATTTGTTTAGTAATTCAAATTAAATGTGTTTAATATATGAGATAGACTGATTACACACAAATCTAAATGTCAAGTCTTCATTTGTTACAATTGTGATGATTATGGTTTACAGCTCATGAAAACCCTGCATTCAAATCTCAGAAAAGATTCAGTATTTTAGACTCAAAGTGAATCCAAATCACCTGCAAAGGGTTCCCAAGCCTTTAGATCGTCTCTCGGTCTAATCTGAATGACTGAAATAGAATGATATTTGCACAATATTCTGATTCTTTGAGCTTCACCTGTACACTTTGCGATGGATGTGTACTCTTTCATTAAAAGCTGCCTTTAGAGATCCTTCACGTAGACCATTATATAAATCATCACCTTATGAGTGTGTAACCTCCATCGCTGCAGTCAGAACCAACACAGGAGAGCAACACTTTGACAGGAAGGTGAACCACTTAAAAATGTTTTAGTTCCTCTTTTTCATAAAAACATGTTGAGCCTTTTGTCATTTTAGCAACGTCTCTCGCAAGGCTTGGGTTTACCAAAGTTATGGTTATAGAGAACATAAATTACAAAAGTACACCCTTAGTTATGCTAACTCTTCAGGTATTTGTATTTATTGTGTTGAGGTTTCTCTGTGATTGTTGTGTAAGTGTTGTTTGTCCAGTAGGTCGCAGTGCTGCCTCGCTGCTGACCTTGGGTTGGAGTCTCTCCTCATCATCCAGGAACTCTGCAATTCCTCCTGTTAGTTTGGTGATTCCCAGCAGGAGTCTCCTGCAGGCCCGAGGACCAAGGCCCAGGCCAAAGCATCTGCACACAGGTGACATATGGGTTTGGATGTCTTAGAGATGAAAACTGATATAATGTACAGCTGAGAGGAGAAACTTTAAATACAAACAAGCAGCATTCACTAAAACAGAACAGAGTCTATTAGAATTGGAGTCACGACAAACATGAACACAGTTTTCAGTGAGAATGTCAAAAGTATTGAAGAGAAACTCAGTCCAACAGGAGAATACTAATGAGACATAAATGGCGTCAGTGTGCATGGGTAAAGAGTCTGGAGAAAACTGATGGGCGTGACTCTCACTGCAGAGCAGAGCACTTAACGGGATTAATGGGCGGGGCTTAAGAATCCTTCATCTCAATGTTTCCTCCAGTGCTTACAGACTGCTGTTTACTCAGGTCCCCTTCTCTTTTTCACATATTCATCTTGGTTTTTACGTGCGTGAACATATACCACACACAATCAGCTCACCAGTTGGTCTAAATAGTATACATGAATTAGTCTACAATTCATTTAGTTTTTCTAATGCATGAATAACCCCTGTGACCTCTCTCTGCATCATTATTCCCACATGGGCCCCGTACCTGCCAGCGCATGTGTTTCTTCGCACCAGCTCCAGCACTCTGGCCACACTGCTGATGGACCCGTCTGTGATGATGAAGACCTGCCTTGGGTATGACCTCTGCATAGGCTGCTGGTAGAGCCAGGAGAGCGCCCCCAGCAGGTTAGTGCCCCTCATGTCTGCTCTCATCCTCTGGATGTACTCATACGCCTGCATTAGAGTTACCTGAATGTACACACACACACACACACACACACACACACACACACACACACACACACACACACACACACACACACACACACACACACACACACACACACACACATGCATGGTTAAGTTGATTAAAATAGGGATGCAACCAGATCTACTGTAAAAGAGGCAGATGCAAACAATGTCAGCACAAGTGGGCAGTTAGGGTAAGCATGAGATGAGGTTAATTTACTGTTTGAGGTTAGCCAACAAAGAATTAACTCAGCTCCTGCCAAACTGGAGATAAACAAGACTGGTAGGGCCTCTCCTGCCTGAGTGGAAATGCACGAAAGGCCAACATATGGTGAGGATGTGCAAAGAGTGTTTGTCCTTGCAGCCCCCTGGTCTGGATATAACCTGATACTCTGCTGCTAAGGCAACCTAAGAAGCAGTGCCGCTGCTTGATTAGAGAACAGGCAGAGGATGATGTGTGGATGAACAACATCTGCATTCAGGAAACGCGATCCAAACGCTCTACATCTCACTGTGAAGGATTTATCGTGCTGAAAACAGAACTTCTTGGGTTTGAAGGAAAAGTTTAGGATCACTAACATCAGTGCAGAGTCTGCTGGAGCTAAACAGAGGTTTGATGGTGGTTCCAAAGCCCACAATGTTGAGCATCGTGCCAGAAGGTAGACTCTTCAAGGCTACCACCATGGCTTCCTGATGTATAAAGAAAGGACAGACAGAACAGTGAGATCAATGCACATATCTCAACACGATTAGGTAGTGACTCTGCTGCATCTTACTTTCACACGATGGATGTTGGTGCCGCTCATGCTGCCGCTGCGATCGATGAGGAACAGCAGCTCTCTGGTGGCTTTGTGTAGCTCCAGAGGTTCGGACAGTAAGTCGGGGCAGAAGTTGAGCATCAGGACGGGGCTACAGAGAATGTCTTTGTGGTGACGCCTCCTAACATACTCCGCCTGCAGGACAGTCCTTGTTAGGACACCAATCCTCAAAACCAACAGTAGAACAAAGTGGTGGGCTGTCAACCTTTCGCTCCGCCTCTGAATCTTTGCGGGTGCAGCGAATGAAATCCCGACGGGAACAGATCTGCTGTTCATACTGGGTGAAGGAAAGCCGGCCTTTCTCTAAGATGACCAAAGGCCTGTGAGGTTCTGTGGAACCGACAAGTTATAAAAACAAACAGATTTGAAAGATAAACTTTACTCATATTTCCATACAATCGTAATAGTCTCTAGTAGGACTGAATGCCTTTTACATCGTACTTAGGGGGAGAAAGCTCCGGTGCACTTAGGGGGAGAAAGCTCCGGTGTACCTGTTTCAGGAACTAAAAGTGAGTTGAGCTGAAGATGACATAATTTGGAGTCTTTTATCCTGACATTTGGATATCAGTCCTCTGATTGGATAACAGCAAAGCAACTCTACTACTGCCTCCGTTTGCTCTGAAACGTTGATGTTTGATCTCCACAAAAAACAAAAGCCTAAAGGAACTTCTGCCATGTGTGTAGTTGCTAATGCTAACAATTAGCTTGTGCTAGTCTAGGGGTGTTTCTCAATGCCAAGGAACCTCGCCTTGATGTCCTGGCCCCGCCCCAGTTGCCTAGGAGAAACTTCATCAGGAACTGCCAAGACGTGTTCCAATGTTCATGTTCTACCGAGGCGTCTGTTTTCCGTTTGTTAGCCGTTTAGCTAGCTGAGCAAGGATACACGGGAAGTGTCTTGCTTGTAGCCTAGCCTTGGTCAAAATTTTCCCAGAATACACCTCAGTATTTTTAAAAGGATGGAGGATCAGAAGCCAGCAGCTACTTTGGGTGCAAATTTCAAGTTTAAAAGTAAGTCAACTAATTTAAAATGTTTTTTTAGATCCAAAGAAGTTTTCTATGGTTGGTTAGTTGCTTAGTAGTTGCAGCTTTGGTGGCTAGCGGGTAGTAACTTGCTTATATATAATTTAACAAATATTTACACAATTTCAAAAGTAAAAGCCTCGTTATATATTCATATTGAAACTTATACGTATAAAATATAACGTTATTTCCTGTGTCACATGACGTTACGTGATGCAAGTCTGCTCCATTTAACTGTTTTCTTTGACCAAGAAAGGACAGTGTCCTCGCAAGGCCAGGTGCCTTGAAATGGAGAAACAGCCTAGATGTCTCTGCTGTTTCCTGGACGCTAAACCAAAAGCAGCCTTCCCCGTCATGAGTCAAGATGTTTTAGGTTTTTAAAATCAGAAGCTAATGCAGGAGAAAGGTGTAGGAGACTATTTCCATGTTCAGCCTGCATTAAAAATGTTGAATGATCAATTATAATCAGAAATAATAATTAAAAATGCATTTTCAGTGGACTTGACCTTCAAAACAAACATGCACCCAAGGCCGGCTCAAGTCTTTGTGAGGCCCTAAGAAAGTTTCCCTTTGGGCCCCCTCATACCAACAAGTCAGCACCAGATGATTCATCATCCCTAGGTTACATCATTTGTGTAATATGCCTACTATCATTGGCTTCTTTTGTAATTAGCTTACATAATGCAGGTGTTATTGTGGATTTTGATTGTGGTTTTAGCAGCAAACCAACAAAAACACTAATTTGCATTTTGAAATGCCGAGTGTTATTTAAGTGTGGTAAATGAATCCAGCTATTTGACATCAGCTGACAAACACTGAATTAGCATTTAAAAAGTTAGGTTTACTTTCCTTTGTTCTTAAATTTTGAAACATGTCAAATGTGCTGCAGTACAAAATAAAACCAAATGACACTATACAGAAAAATCATTTTTTCATGTTAAATATTATTTAGTTTGTATTATTTAAAGTTATCAAAACCTTTTCCTCATGTCATCTTGATGCCATTTTGGCTCCCCTGGTGGTGCGGGGCCCCAAAGTAGTTGCTTATATACCTTGGGCCGGCTCTGCATGCTACCGAACCCGTAATAAACTGGTGATTTCTCATTTCTCACCACTGAGGTGCAAAAGGATCTCTATGTGTCTGTCATATGGATGCTCCTGAGCTAAGGTGATGTAGGTGGCAGAGGCACTTTGAGCGCTAGGGTCTGCATCAGCTCTCAGAGCATGTGTTGGGCTCTCCAGTCCTGCAAATGAGTGGACAGAATATTCAGAATTATTTCTTAACCTTACAGGAATCTTTCATTTAAATTTGTATTATATTTTTAATACATAAAAAATGAATTTGCCAGCTGTTTTTGATACCAGAGCCTTGTAAGAGAGGACAGACTGTACCAGCAAGCAGACATGCAGCTCGGACCAGCAGCTGGAAGCTGAGTTCATAAGGAGCCAGGTTGGCAGCGGGACTGGTAAAGATGGTGTGGGAGCACTGCTGCTCAAAGTCTGAAACTCGGCCTTGTTTTTCTGAAGTGGCACCAAAACAGCTTGTTGCCCTAAGGAGAAATAAACTTTAGATAAGTCTAGAGTCATGATTGTCAAATTACTGTCAGGAAATAAGGAGTTTAACCCTCACCCAGTTTCCTCGGATTTCCCCCCATTTTCACTCTTGCTTGATGTCATCTGACCAGAGACAATTGGTGTGAGCAACGTTGGGTAAACGATATGGATCGCTCCATTTTCTAATGTGGGGAGCTCCAGTGTGGTGCTGATGATGACAGACACTATGTCCATGGGTCCTATAACCCCACAGCCCATAACAAAGGTAGTTCGTTCCTGGTCCTCATCCAGGATCAGATGTCCTAAAATCAGATCACTAGTAGGTTAATTTGGTAATAATTAAAGAAATTAACTTTTTCAGGCAATCAAAGAGATATCTAAGCACGTTTTTCCATCTCATCTCTATTAATTTAGTTAAACTGTTTCCCAATTAAAAAAAATACTAAAAACTCTATTGCATGAGCGTTAATTAGATGTGCTTCTTAAAAAACACAACAAGTAATGATTTCCTTTATCTATTCAAATCAACTCTTGGGACTAACTCTTAGCCTCCATTAAGAATGAACAGACATGATCTTTTAACAAGAAAAAAATCTAAATCCTTCCCTTGAAAATCTGATCTCATTTGTCTTTTTCTGAATGTAGTCATTCCACCCGCTTCTCACCATTAGTGCACTGCATGTCCAGGCTGGAAATCCCACAGCAGCCCCATTCCTGGCTATTTCCACTATGTGCTTCAAGGCCAGATCCAGGGCAGCAGTCCAAACAGCAGTCCTTCAGCTTCCCTCGGCTCTGGATCTGCACCCCGACCAGTCGACCCGCAATCACAGCCTCAAAGCCCACCACAACCTCTTTTTCCCGCAGAGGGTACACAAACACTCCTGGATTAAAGTTACAGATGTTAGTTTAAAAAGAAAAAAAAAACTCCTGGTAATCTTTCTGAACTAAACTACTGACTAAACATGAAGTTTCAATGAGTTATGTTCTTATGAAAATACATCAGATGCTGAATTTCAGGCCGATGTATTTTTCACGTTTCAACCATCACAAAGTTTCTTCACAAGTAGTCAAAGACTCATAAACACAAAAACAAAACATTAGGTAGTATATGTATACCACCTAAAATCTACGTGTTTGTTTCTGTGTTTTTTTTTGATAGAGAAGCGACGGGGTGTACCTCAAGGATGAGTCCTCAGTACTTTATTTTTTGCCATTGACAGTCCATTTCATCCTCACATATTATTTTAAAATTGTCATGATCTGTGCTGCATTACCATCTCTGCTGAGTGTTTGCCCCTGATCGCCAGCTCTCCATCACCCACCTATCCACCTGCAGCTCCTCGGTCTCCCCATCCAGCCAGGTCTGACTAAACCCCCCTCAAAATACCCAGATCTTCCAGGAAACAGTAAGCCTTTTTATTTCTCCATCATCACCTCACGTTGCTCCAGACTCTGACCTCTCTTCCTCTCTCAGACCCCCCCCACACCCCCCCCCCACCCCCCGCGGATCCCTCCAGTCCTGCAGAAGCTTCGTCTACCTCTCCCATTCATAATAAATCATTTAAACTTACCTTCTGTCTCTCTGTGGTGATTCTTCATGTCGTGGGTCAAGAAATTACCCTCAAACATGACAAAAATATTAAATACACGTTCCATTAGGTGAAACCATTGGCGCCCAACTCGCACTTCAGCCCTTTGTCATGTTCCACAGAAATCTGCTAATCACCTATTATTTCAAGTCAGACACATTTGAGCTGATAAATATTAAAATCATGTAGCACCTCTCAAGGACCATGCCTGAACACCACTGACTTACTGGGATATGTCGACTTTTGCACTGAGAATGTCCTCACCTTCTACAGATTCTGTGTCAGCATTAGCATAGGTGAGGTGTGCAGTGATGCCCATGGAGCAGCCGTTGGCACAGGACTTGATGCTAGAGGCCTTAAGCAGCAGGGGTTCCCATGAAGAACAGTTTCTCAGTCCCACCATGGTTTCAGCATCAGCTTTACTTTACAGAAGGCCTGAAAACAGCTACAGAGCTCAGTGATCTGTTAAGATGAAGCTGTGAGCATGCATTTAAATCACTTCATTTTAAAGAGCAAGTCACTGCCAAATCAACTATTTTTTTCTGATAAACTATATAAATGCGTGTCTAATCGTGCTGCAGACACGTGTAGTCAATAGTTTTGCACTTTAGTGCATGTTAGTTAAAATTTACATTTTTTGCCAGAAAATGTCAGTGTTGTGCCGTTGTCAGGTAAAAACTCTGCACTGCATTTGAATTTAAATCTGCCACCGCTATTGGCTAAGAGGTATGCTATGATGTAAACTGGTACATTATGATGTCACAATGTCGTGAGTGTGTGTATTTGTTAGTGGCTCCACCCTCTCGGTCTGCTAGGCAACAGCATTTGTTGCATTTTTCAAACATGAAGTGGGAGTGAAGTACGCTTCTTGTAAGGGGTGACTTGCTCTTTAAAATCAGTCCACAATTACAGTTAGACATTTAAATCAGATCAGATTTTGTTGCATGGATCAAATGCATCTAAAATGAAGGAGTTTATTTATGTAACGCTCACGTCTGCTGTCGGAAACTTAACCAAGCCTCCTGTTCGGAGGCTCTTAGCAACCACTTGTGATAAATTGTCTATAACAGGCTTGGTCAATCATTAATATTACCGGTCAGCCCTTATTACTTTATGCATCACTCCTTGAATATACAATCAGTGGTCAACCAGTATGCAAACTCACCAACAATTATGGTCGTTATCTTACTGGTACACATCTTAAAGTTTCCATTTTCCTCTCATTTGTACTGAATCGCTCCCACTTAGGAACTTTAAAAGCAACAAGTGCTGTGTTCAGTGTACAGATCATAAAAGATAGAGCACACAAAGTGTGTGTGTGTGTCCACGCGTGCATGTGTGCGCGTGCGTGTGTGTGTGTGTGTGTGTGTGTGTGTGTGTGTGTGTGTGTGTGGGCGACACACACTTGCATTTTGTGTTTGTGTTTGCCATGATCCAGATAATGGTCTTCTCACATCTACCTTTTTAACAAGATCAACAGCCTCCATCTGACTACTGCGCTCCCTCAGCTCATAACAAGCTAATAAATGCCTGGTTTGTTTGAGTCAGATGAACTGTTGTTGTTGGAGAGGAGAGGTGATTTCTGTCTGGACCGTAATCTGCTCAGTCTCAGATTTCTGTATGCTTTGATGAAGAACAGAATGGTTTTTTTTTTATTTTGTGACCAAACACAAATAATTTTAAATAGAAAAATATGCAAAAATCAAGTAATTAAATGTTTTAAACATGCATGTAAATGAAGTTTTTCGTGAATCTAATGCAAAAAAAAAATCTATATTTTATTTTGATTTTGCAGAGTACTAATATTTGCACTTAGTCATATGCATTCAAATGCATTCACATTTCACAAAATAAGTTTTTTAGTATTGGTATAACTAATATGTGTGGTGTTTGTTCAGTGTAAAGTCTGAAAACATTGCATGTGCACTTTGTTAGTGGCAATCGACAAATAAGAAGCAACCCCCCAGCAACACTTACTGCACTTTTCAGAGTGGTGATAATTCGCGTCAGAGTCCAATCTCTGCATCCCTTCACCACCACATCTGCTCCCGGGTTTCCCAGTGACACGTTAGAGGAGTTTTCTCTCTCTGACTCCCCTTCATTCCACAAATTTGCCTTCTGTTCTGTGCAGAAAGTCAAGACACAGTGCAAAGCTAAACATGTGAGTGCAATGTTAACAGCATGCAGAGCAAACTATCCAAAATTAACCCAAGAACAGTGCAATAAAAAATATATAAAAATCGTCTGTTTTATAAACTACTTCAATGCTGATCCATCCCCCTCCTGTAGTTGCTTTTACTGAAATGTCGTCTGCTTACCTGTTCCGTCCTGAAGCGGCAAGATGATCAGACAAACTATAATCCAGAACCCGCTGTTCAGGCACAAGCTAACACACAACAGTAAGTGAGGCAGAGTCTGCTTTCCATCCAGACAATTGGCTGTGATGGTAGCAGCACCATGATTCATGACTAATGGCTTGGCTGGAGAGAGGCGGGGGAGGAGGAGGGAGGAAGAGAGGGTGAGGTGTTCTGTCTCTCCCAGCAGGTCAAGTCAGAACACCGCAGCAGCAGGTGAGACCAAACCCGACGAAGCATTCGTCTCCAAACACTACACAGCAAACAAATAAGTCATTGAATTTGACTCCATGTGCAGATTTCTAAACCAGATTAAATTAAATGTCTATGATTGTTGTTTTCTTTTCAGAAAACTGAACACCAGATTATTTCATTTATTGATTTTTCATTTTCTCTTTAGTTTTATATTGTAGTCTCTCAGGTCCTGCAGGTGCATCTGTGTAAGAGAGTCACAGAGAGAGGAAAGGCCAAAGAAGGTGAGAATCTTTTTAAAAAATGCATTTTCAGTGACACTCTTGTTTTTGTTTTGATGTTTTTGTTCTTTCTTTGCTGCCATTTCATTTTCAGGTGATACCATGTGCTTTAACAGTTTAGGTGGGTGCTATTTCCTGTTTGTATCCAAAAGATTTTCTCTGTTTATGTATCAGTGTGAATGTCAGAATTTAGATTTGATCAAATGCTTTTAGTGGTCTTCTAGTTTATTCTGTAGGCAGAACTAATATGAAGCAACGCTGATGTACAGTACGTACGCAGAGGGAGAATGTTGCCAGTCTCTATCCCAGACTGCCACCGTGTGGCCTTAAGGTTTTTACTTCCTCCACTTAACTTGGTCCTAATTGAATGGCTGTATCAAAAATGGTCCAGCCTTTAAATAAGTGTTCAAATATGTTATTTTAAGGTCAGCATTTTAGAAGTTTTAGGTACTTTAAAGTTATTATCTTAAGACAGGTCGACCTTGTTTATGTTTTTACTGCTTTTATAATTGGATTGTGCTTCAACCCTATGGCTTTGTTCTACCATGCTGGTGTGTTAGCATGCGTAGCTCATGTATTTGAGTGTTATTTTTTTATACTTTATGCACTTTCCCATTCAAATAGAGAAATCAAATTAGAAAGTCTAAATCAAATGCAATATTAATGAGTTTTCTCTTTTCGCCTTCTTCCTTTGAAACTATAAAGCTTGCTGGCCTAAACAGTGTTGATCCAAGTACACACGTCCCATATTTTTGTTGCCATTTAGTTACAATAATCAAATATCTTGTCTATTTTTTGGCCATAAATCTGGTTGGATAAACACTTTGAAAGTAAACTTTGAAAACAAAAGAATTAAAAAATTCACAATCTGAAAAAATACATGCAAAATGGAAACGTTAAACATTTGCAGTAAACTGAATGTGAATGATCCTGTATTTTTAAGATTTAGAAGGAATGACATTAAGCCACGATGAAAATGAATTAATTAAATCCTGTGCGGGGATGTTGGTTCTGATGCAGGCTACAGAAAAGTTGAAATGACGTGTTCCTGTGACACTAGATGTCAGCCTTTCCTCATCAACTGCAGCCTTTTAACTCTCTCAGGCTCAAAATAAGTTTTGATAAAAGGACGAACAACTAAGTCCTTCAGGGGTACTTCTGAGTTAAAAAAATGCTCATGAAGTACGTATGTCGAGTAACCTGGTAGGTAGGATTTAACGTTGCAAATCTGCAACGCCTGCCTCCAGAGGGTTGATAAAGGACTGTAATCTTTCTTTAATCTGTATCCCTTCTCATCTAACATCTGAGAGTTAACCTTCAACTGAAATGACTAATTAATGATCTTCTTATTTTATTACTAATTTGCTGGTGGGACATGGATTCTCAATAAGGTACATCAGCTTGTTTTATTTTTCTTGCTTTTAGAAAAGTGTGAGGCTCCTATTTAACCAGCAGATGGTGTCCAGAGCCTGAAACCTTCCATAGGTTCTGCAGGAGCCTGTTAATAACTTAAACTTTTTCTTTTATGCACTGATACACATTCAAATTTGCTTGTCCTTTAATGTTTGATTACATGAGAGGATCAACATATCACGATGAGTAATCTGACCTGTTTTCCACCGAAACCTGATCAGCCTTATCATAATTACTCCTGCTATTCTCAAATTTTATGTTTCATTATTTAACACTTAGCGTTTAATAGGAATCTAATGGCAGCTAATGTGGTTGATATGTCAAAAGGCATCGAATAACAACAGCGACCTGCTGACAGTCTTCTGCCTTGACCGTTGTCAGAGGCTTCAAGTGTCTGAGCTGAAATGTTGGGAACCTCTTCTCCGCTGTGTACCCCACTGACCTAGATTTCAATTGTTTTCTCCCAGAGACAATGGGAGAAAAGGGTTTCGTAACTGAACACAATACCTGTGTGTTGTGAAGGTTCTCATTGTTTACGCCGTGCATTGTTTTTTCTTTTTCATGTAACTCCCTGGAGCAGCCGGTCAGTTGTGAGCCATACAACGAATCACTTCCAGACACCTGCTCCATAACCGGATGGTTGCAAGTTCAGGGCCCCGTCTGCTGCAGTCGTGTCCTTGGGCAAGACACTTAACCTAACTTGCCTGCTGGTGTTGGTAGGAGGGACAGGGGATGCCAATGTACGCCAGCATCTCCTCCATCAGTGCGCCCCGGGGCAGCTGTGGCTACAATGAAGCTCATCACAACTAGCATGAAAATGTGTGTGTGTTGGTGAATTACTGGTGGTGTTGTAAAGCACCTTGGGGGGTTGCAGAAACCTAGAGGGCACTATATCAATACAGGCCATTTAACACATTTATAGCAACAACTAAGTTTTTAAGTGGCGATCATCCTGCAGCTACGTTGTATTAAAGAATCTAAAGCTAATGAATGTATGATCACATTTATGCATTAGCAAAGATCTGCATTATAACTTGAAATTCTCTAACAAGCTATCAAAATGAGAATAAATTCAATGTATTCTAAATGATTTCTCACATCATTATAACCATGTAAATGAGAGAAACAGATGAAAAAAATCATTTGGTTTATGATTTAAAGGAAATTTGCTCCATTAAAGTTGAGTTGGAAGCTAATAAACACACGTTTTGTTGTCTCTGTCCTGACCTGGGACATTTAATTTTATTTATCCATCCATCCGTCATCGATGCCTGTTTATCCGTGCGTGGCCGCGGGAGGGCTAGTGCCTATCTCCAGCTGTCATTGAGCAAACAGGCAGGGTACACCCTGGACAGGTTGCCAGTCCTTTGTAGGGAAATGCAGAGACACAGGACAAACAACCATGCATGCACATAAGGACAATTTAGAGGGACCAATAAACATTACGGTCAAATTGTGGGTCTGTGGGAGGAAGCCGGGGTACCCAAGGGGAACCCTTATGTGAGAAAGCTCCACACAGAAATACCTCATGTTGGGATTTGAACGTATGATCTTCCTGCAAGGCAACAGTGCTACCAACTGCACCACTGTGTTTTATTTTACTCTATTTATTCTGTCAATTTCAGTGCATGTGCACTAAAACATCCATCCATCTTCTGAACCCGCTTGTCCGCGCAGGGTCGCTGGGGAAGGGGGCTAGTGCCTATCTCCAGCAGTCAACAGGCAATCAGGCGGGGTACACCATGGACAGAGAGCCAGTCCATCGCAGGGCAACACAGAGACACACAGGACAAGCAACCATGCACACATACACTCACACCTAAGGACAATTTAGACAGACCAATCAACCTAACAGTCATGTTTTTGGACTGTGGGAGGAAGCCGGAGTACCCGGAGAGAACCCACACATGCACAGGGAGAACACGCAAACTCCATGCAGAAAAATCCCAGGCTGGGAAGCAAACCCAGGACCTTCTCGCTGCAAGGCAACAGCTCTAACCACTGCGCCACTGCGCAGCCCTGCATTAAAACATGTTCTTCTAAATGGTTGGAACGCCAAAAGGTTTTTAAAAAGTGCTTATTTTAGGCTCCATTTCAATAGAAACAATCCTCTATAGACCTGTGGATCAAAAGAGTAGATTCCTTGTACTTTCTGAAGTCAAGATGACCAGCGTCCGCAGCCAAATGGCTTTGCCTCTGACGGAGCTGACTCAATGCCCATTTACTGTTAGATGTGTGTGTGACTCGTAATGAAGCCAGAAGCTGAAGCAGAACATCGCAAACGTGAGACGGGCTGGCAGAAGACAAAAAGGTTGTGCTAAAGGCCTCAGGAACAAAAACTGAGCAAATTAATCAAAGGACATCAAAAGAAATCGGGATGGAGGAAAGGAAGGAAAAAAAGAGGTGCCGCCCGTTTGTTCCCCGCCGCTCCTGCTTCGCTCGGCCTGATCCTGCTCTCAGATCTTGGATTCATTGTCTCATTGAGGTGGGGGCTGGCTGGGGAGGGGGGCATATCAACTCTTATTTAACAAACATCTGAAAATTAAAATAAAAACCTTTTTTATTGGTTTACTTTGTCTAAACTCTTGACTGTATTTGAAGCATTGTGTTGTTTGTGTGTTCCACATGCCACCATCTCCATGAGTCAATGACAGATTTACATTTCTGATTAAACGGCTGGATTCTAACAGCTGGCTATTGGTTTTACAAAGAGTTCTTCCACCTTTCTGCAGGCTGCAAACAAACAAAACCTCTTTCAGATTTGTCGTCAACTTCAAACTGTAACAGCAGCATCCAGATCTGAATGTAATAACCGTTCAGACGTAGCCAAAATGTTCCATCTGCACCAGTTACTCTTCAGTCCAGTTGCTAAAAAGACATGAAAAGACATTTACTTGGATCAAATGTGTTTGCCGTTGACTCACTGTTGTGCATGTGGTCTCCGTCTTGTAACGCCACGATGAAAAGTTGTTCTTTGATAAGAATTAGAAGAGTTTAGGTCAAGATTATTCTGGAATATTTTATGTTTTATGGTAAAAATGTGATAAAAGACCAAGAATCTGCCATCAGTAAATGGTTTTCTTGACAGATCCTCCATGTTCCTGAGCAGCGTGTTACTGTACCTTTATGTAACAAAAGCAGAGTTCAGCAGAGAAAGACAAAAGTGATGTGAACTGACAATATTTTAATGGGAGGCACAAAAGGCTGTAAGTGATCAAAGCATGCGGCAGCCAAGTGATGCCCGGGGGACGCCTTTGATGTGGGTATCCTCAGAGGGACGCCAAGGACAATGCCCTCTTTGAGGGACACGAATGGCAGACACTTTCCTCCCCTCTCCCTCCTGTTCTCTCACACTCAGCGTCCCTGTGCGTCCCACCCGCTCCGCTGTGACTCTTCGCTTCAGTCTCTGATTGACGTCCCTCTCTCTCTGCATAACACTGTGTCACATCAGCACATATCCTTATCTGCAGAGCTTTTCCCCTCTTCCTCTCACACTAATTAATTCAAACAACACCCCCTTCCCAGTTGCCCAACCAATCCCTCTGCTCACCCTCCCTCTCCCATTTCCCTGGGTCCCCCTCCCTCGATCTCTTTTCATAGAACCAAACCTCTTTGTGATGTCCAGCCTTGGCAAGTTGTGCCCGATTTGCTGTCACAGTCTTAATGAATTCATGTGTTTGTGTATTGGCCATTGGAGCATCTCTCCCTCCCCTTCCTAGGTTTGCTCCCCCTGTCTCGTTCTGGTCTTCTCTTGGGGACTCTATATATTCCAGGGAACACTTCAGACCTCTATTGTTTACAGACAGATGCCTTACACCGTAGTGTGGGAGCGTCCAAAGAGTCAGGAGGAGGGAGATAGCACCCAGACGTTAAGGACAAGGACACGCTACAGAGTATTTACAGCACCTCCTGCAGCTTTGGACATCCCGCAGGTGTCCGCCTGTTGTCCCTGAAGAGTGAGGGGAGGTTCTGATGTTTGGACACCATGCTGCTGCTGGTGGTCTCACTGCTTCTCACGGAACTGGACTGTTTACTGGGTGCACCGACAGGTAGAGAGGTCTACAGGATGCCACAGAGTGCACTCAAAGGTACGTTCTTTAAACTTAACAACAAAAAATGCTCAAAAACTTTGAAAACAGGTCTAATTTTGTTTAAACTTTGACTCCAAGATGTCAGGCTTTCTTGAAATTGTTTCAAATTTTCCTCAGTGGAGGACCAACTAAGACATCTGTGTTCTAAAACACCGGTCTGTGGCAGACGATTGGTATTAGTAACAGAATAAAACCATTTGAAAAAGAACCTTCCAGAAGCATCGTCCTCAGTTGGTGCTAAAATATTTTATCTCAGTTAAACTGGATAATTTTTTTTCAAGAAAAAAAAAAAGAAGGAACAACAAAATTATGATTTAATGACAAAAACGTTGATGACAAAATTATAATTTAAGTTTGGTTCTTATGTGTCAACCCATTCACCTCTTTAAGAGCCTTTTTACATTTGGATTTTACTTAAGCCAGAGCCAAGTGGTTGAACAAACACATAAACAAAGAAAAATAATTCAACGGGAATGATCGGGCACAAGGTTCAAACAGTAAGAAGCAAAAGAGACTGTGTCGTAGTCATAGCAACAGTTCACAGACACCGACAGGTTGGCTAGAACTCTTAACCCACTGTGTTTAACCATCTAAGCATTTAACAAAAGTTCAACAGGAGGTAAAATTTGTCCTCAAGTCGTAAAAGTAGTTGTACATCTTGCAACACATTTTAAATGTAATTTGAGAATGAGTAATTGGTCAAAGCAGTTGCACTCCCATAGGTTAGACTTGTCAAAGCCTGCAGATGAGGTTCTGCTGTGAGGAGTTTAAAAGCATCTCTGGGTCCCAGCTAGCTCGGACCTGCCAGCCGGTGCCCTCAGAGCCGGTCTCTAACTCGCCAGCCTGTGCCCACTCAGCCCTGCTCTTCTAATTAAGTCTTCAATCAGCTTTGTTAGCTATCCTGTGATGTGGTGAAGCACGGGGAGGGGGGGTGGGCCGCAGGGTCGGCGGTATGATTGAAGTGTGTCTGTTGAAGCATTAGCAGTGCTCTGAGCGTGAGCAGCTTCTCTAAACTGCTGCCAATGAGCTCAAAATGCACGATGAGAAAAGAGACACACTTACCAGAAAGCTGCACTGATTTATCCTAACGTGGTGTTCCCACAGCAAACCCCAGTTTTCCATGTAGTTTCCAAGAAGTCCTGTTATTCCCGCTGCCAAAGTCTTCAAATAAAAATGTGCTCATGTTACAGGGACCAAACTGGGACCAAGGTGGAAAAATGAGACCTGTAACTCTATAAAAGGGATGCCCACCTCTCGTCTTTATTGATTCACCACAAAGAACTTTCACAGTGACATGAGCACAATTCCGTCCAAACTCGTGAAAAGCCTCGTGTTATGTCTCCACTGGTTCCATAAACCACGATGTCTTAAATGCGAAACACTAAAATAAAGTTGATCCCAGTGTTAACCCACTGGTCTAGGAGTTTGATTACTCTAGCTATTTTTTCTCCAGGCTCAAAAAAGATTCACTTGTGCTTCAAAACTTCTTTCTAACTTTTTACATAATTCAAAGCCTTTTTTATGAAACTACTACCTCCTCTCATGAACCCACTGTCAGCCTCGCTTGCCACTTTAAACCCACTCACTTGGTCTTTTAAGTTATTTTACATGTTTCTGTAATGTCCATCTCCTCCAAACGGGGTGTGGCTCATTACCCAGGAGTTTTCCACATATCGTAATAGTTAAACATTTCTAGTCCACAAAACTTTTCCCATGGCACCGCGACATTTCATCCTCTTTATATTTCTTTGTTCTACATAGTTTTGTCGAGCGCTGACCTGTAACACAATATTAAAAACGATGCTGTTCATATCCAAATCTCATCTGAGGGGAAATTGAGCGTCTGCTGCAAAACGGGATAGAGAGTAACACCTCCCAGGACAAACTTGTTCCTGTTCCTGAATATCCTGACCTGTCTGTTGGTCAATACCATAAAATACCTTCCATGAAACATAAATTATGCCCATGAAATGGTTTGAATCTGTCGCTAACTCTTTTTTATGTGCCACGCCAACATCTTTAAAATGACTCTGCTCTGATAAACTGATCATCAAGACTACGTTAGGTGGATGTAATTTGACATCTTGTCCCCCTGCAGCTCTGTCTGATCGAGGCACGGTGGTTCTGGAAGCAGCCATGGCCAGCGCCCTCTCCTCTCTGGAGCGTGGCTTATCTGAGAGAAGTCGTGCAGAGGCGGGCTGCCGGGGATGTCTCCCCTGTCTGTTTCAGAACTGTGGACAGCTCTCAGTGTCCTGCTGTAAATATATTTCTTCCTCATAGCCAGCTTGACATCATCACAGATTATTTATTGGTGTATTTACTGTTTCATGTCCAGCAGCGTCTTCCTCCAGTGCCTTATCAGAGCCCAGCTGTTCTGTGATCAGCAAGGCTCAGAAGCTTCAGGGGGAGGCCGAGCGTAGCTGGGCTCTGAGTCAGGCCTGTGCGTACTACCAGCACCGCTGCCTGCCTGCTGAGCTGGAAACAGAGAGCTGCATCAGGATCATGGGTGAGAGCTGCAGTGCACGGGTCCTCCAGTGCAGCCTGCTGAACACGATGCAGAGCCTGGAGCCCTCTATGCAGACACATGCACAAGGTCAGGGAATGTGTGTTTTCTTAAGTTTCCATACTTATAATTCATACCTGTGGCATATCTTTGACCTTTTCTCCATCCCAGCAGCAGTGTGTGGTCAGAGGTCACCCATGATGCAGAACACCACGCAGCCCCGCTCCAGGATCGTAGGTGGCTCTCCAGCTCCTCCAGGCAGCTGGCCCTGGCTGGTTAACCTGCAGCTGGATGGTGGGCTGATGTGTGGAGGGGTCCTGGTGGACAGCGCCTGGGTGGCCACTGCTGCACATTGTTTTGCTGGGTAAGAGAGTCACTGAGTGGACAAATGTTAATTTCACTGATTTAGTTTTATTTATTTATTTAATCATTACACCTTTCCTTTTTCTTCAGTGGGCGTGGCGAGAGCTACTGGACTGCTGCAGTGGGCGACTTTGACATCACCAAGGCTGATCCTGATGAGCAGGTTCTCAAAGTCAACCGTATCATCCCCCATCCAAAGGTGAACACATTGATGCTCTACTTCTAAAACAATCAGAACTCAGTCACCCAGTTGCTATTTAGTTACTTCTTAGCTTGTTTTCTTACAGTTTAACGCAAAAACCTTTAACAATGACATCGCTCTGGTGGAGCTGACCTCCCCAGTCGTCCTGTCCCAACACGTCAGGCCCGTGTGCCTCCCCTCTGGTGTGGAGCCCCCCACAGGTAGCCCCTGTCTAGTGGCAGGATGGGGGTCCTTATACGAAGGTGAGTGGTGGACATTTTGACCAGCTTGTAAATAACTCAGAACATTTTTAAACTCCTGATTAACTTTTATCGCTACACATTTTTATTTAGAATTGTGTGGGTGTTCCTGGGCTTGAAAGAGTAGTCTTTGAATAAATAAGGTTTTATATAAATCTTTTAAAGTTTGATATAAAAATGCAGGCCCATGACAGGTTATTTCTGTGTATTTTCCTTACAGATGGCCCTTCTGCTGATGTGGTGATGGAGGCCAAGGTCCCCCTGCTGCCTCAGAGCACCTGCAAGAGTACTCTCGGGAAAGACGTGGTCACCAACACCATGCTGTGTGCTGGTTATCTCTCTGGAGGTGCAGACTCCTGTCAGGTGGGCAGAACAGAATCCTTTTGTTGAGCTTTTTTCACATTTCCTCTCAGGTTGAGTTTGCAATGTTTTATCCAAGCTCCTCTCAGATTCTTTGTTTTGGCATAAAAACGTGTTTTTTTCTTTTAGAAAATGTAAAAAAAAGTTTTGTTGTGTCTAGGGTGATTCTGGAGGTCCCCTGATCTACCAGGACAGGACTTCGGGTCGTTTCCAGCTCCATGGCATCACCTCCTGGGGAGACGGCTGCGGGGAGAAAGGCAAGCCCGGCGTATACACACGAGTGTCAGCGTTTGCTGACTGGATTCAGGCTGAGATGCAGAGTGAGAAACAACGACACACCTCCAATATCATTACTAGAAAAATACATGGACTGATTTGCAAAATTTGATGTAGTTGAATCACCAATAAAGCTGCTATCTCACCTTTCTTAGAATCATCAGCGAGCAGAGAGCCAACATGCCCGGAGCTCCTAAAGACGACAGAAATGACAGAGGAGGAGCAGAAGACGGAGTTTCTCTCTCTCTGTCGCTTCTATACTCTGACCTGCCCTCCCACTCAGTCTGCAAGTGTCTGCAGCCAAATAGCTGAAGACAAATGTTTCACCCGCTTTAAGAAATGCCGTGAGTTCTCTTATTTAACCGCCCATCTCAATGGATGTGGAACAAAGTACATCTGAAATCTGAGCATGGAACATGCGGTGAAGCATAATTTAAAAACAATAAATATTCCAAAAGTTAAAAGAAATAACGTCGAGGACAGTAGACACGTGGTCGCAGATCAGACACAAGATGCTTACCTCCTCTGAGAAGATGTCCAGAAGGGGCTTCAGTTCAGAGCTGACAGGAACCCATAGGATCCAGTTACCTGTCCACTGGAAGCAGAAGTTGTGGTCTTTGCAAAAGATTAGAATAGAATAGAATAGAATAGAATAGAATAGAATAGAATTCAACTTTATTGTCATTGCACATGTACAGGTACAGGGCAACGAAATGCAGTTTGCATCCATCCAGAAGTGCTTTAGCCGTGATATAGATGTATTACAATATATGTTAGCAATAATATAGATGTGTAAGTATATTACAGAAATGGATCTATTACGTATGTTATAATGTACACGGTATGAAGTATGTTATGAATATTCTATGACTATAAGTATGTACAGGCTGTAGTTAATACAAGCAGTCCACGAGTTTAACGTGGGTCATATGTCAGGAGGCAGAGTTCAGGAGTCTGACAGCTGTTGGGAAGAAACTGTTCCGGTACCTGGTGGTCTTAGAGTCCAAAAATCAAACTTATTTTACGGAAACAAGACCAAGTAACTGTAATTTGAAGGAAACATGAGAAAATGGGTTCAGAAAAATGGCAGCAGCTGCTCTGGACCGATGACACATTGTTCAGAATAGCTATCTGTCAGAATTTGAAGGCTGACCCAGCTGCTGGAAACAGGGGAAATAATGAATCTGTAAGAAACATTTAGAGTTTGAGCAGGTGTGTCTGGGTTTATATAAAGATAAAATTATGGTGTGAGCCAGAAACATCAACAGAATATTAGTTTAAGAGTTCCATTAGCAAGTTTTCAGAGAAGAACTGATGTTTTGAAGGCAAAGGATGAGCGCACAGAACACTGATCTGATTTAGATCAAGCTTTCTGATTAGAATATGTTTTTGTAAATTCATTTTTAACTTTGCAGACTTTTCCCCACATCTGTCTGGAGTTTCTGAACTTTTTGTTCTGTCTCTTATGCAGAGTTACGCTCCTTCCTGCAGACCCTGTTAGACCTGCTCCAGAGGGCAGAGGACTACATCAGGGACAAAGTGGACCTGACGTTCTTCACCCAGACTCTGCCTCAGCTTGTGGAGAACATCTATAGCTCAACTTTTACCCCCAGCCGAGAGAGAAGAGATCTCACACAGACTACTGAAGGTACAGAAAAAAAAGACATCTCATTGTTTTACTTCATGTTTTGACAAAAGTACAGATTATGAATCAGCTGAAGTGTGGTGCAGCTATTTTAACAGCTGCTTCATTATTTGTAGAACAGCTAGGTGGAGCTGTGACACATGCAGATCAGGGTCTTCCTGGAGATTCGTCGGCTTTATTCAGAGACGTTGGATCATCAGTGGACAACTGGGAGGAACTCCTGAAAAATGTGGCTGATGATCTGGAAGAGCAACGCAAGGCTGGAATCACAGAGGCATCCTCCACACCTGAGAGAAACGAAGACTTCCTGTTTCTACAGGTTAAAATTTATCTAACTGTTTATTCTGACTGTTTACACGTTTGTGCTCATCTAGATGAATTATTTTGTTATCTACAGACTCGGGATTCATTTGTGCAACAGCTGGAAGGACAGTATAAGTCTGTCATTTTGGATCTTCAATCCAGATTAAATTCCAGAGCAGCTCCTCCTCTCCTGCATTTGGACCCAGCCTACCTTCAAGAAGGCTCTCCCAAGAATCCAATGCGTCTCCCTTCTTCCATAAGATCAACAGTATCACCATCCTTGTCCACAAAACCCCAGGACCACTGGTCGTTTGTTACAGCTTTCATGGATGAAATTCAAAAAATAGAAACTCGAGATGAGACTGAGGAAAGTGGCACGTCACAATGGAGCAGCCCATCTGAGGACTTCATATTTACGCAAAACAAAGATGAGGTGGACCTAAAATCTTCAACTATACCACTCCAAGAGAAGTCTGCTGTCCAGCGAGGCCTTAATAAGCCTCACGCAGAAACCTCCGACTCTGGACATGCTGGCAAGCCTTTACGTCTTCACAGGAAATCCAGGAGCCTTCTTCAAAACAGCCAGATTCCTGCTGCCAGTGGGAGAAGTAAGCCTCGCATCACGCTTTAAAAGTATTTCATGCTGTCTCGGTTTAATGGTGTGCTTTCAATCGGCATGTATTGGTGTTTTTATTTTATTTTATTTTATTTTTTGTAGTTTGTCCTGGACTGAGAGAGGCTTCACAGCAAGTCAGCCAAATCACAGAGTCCTACAGCTGGGTTCTCAACATCCCAAACAAGAATTTGCGGATGACCTTCCAGGAGGTAAATTACAGAGAAATCAGATGTGGGATCATCTCATGCAGCTGTGACTATAACCTGGTTTCTCTGCTCCTCAGGTGTTAGTCGATCTGAGCTCCAAGAATGATCGAGGACTCTACCAGGCACGGATCAAAGCTGTAGTGGGAGGACGACCTTTGACCTTTTACAGCCTTGCAGGGCTGGAGAACGAATCGTTCTACCGGAGTGTGCCGAGGATCATCGCTTTGGCGCTGAACTCTTTTAAGACTTAACTAAAAACAAGAGACAATGACTAAAATGTCTGAGATGCACGAGAATGGACTCATGCAAACTTTACTTCTTCTTTTGTCGCATATTATTTCCCCTCACACAGACGCTGACTATTAGTTCTAAATGCAGACATGAATGTATCAGTCATCATCGGCCACGAGCCATGACACTTTTTTTTTTGTTTAACTTATAAATTTGTACAAAATAATAAGTTATTGCCTTTTGCAAAGGTTACGCCTGTAAAATGCAGACTGTACATGTTATTTTTTAACTTTATATATTTCAAATATTTATTTGTATAGATGAAACTGTATTTTTGTAAAAAATAATCTATCTAAATAAATACATTTCTATGAATGTTTTGGGTTGAAACAACTTCAAATGAAAAATATAAAGCTACAAATAGGAGTACGGTGAGAGTAATGTTGCTAATCCTAATCTGTTTTACAGCTGCAGGTCTCTCAGAACCTAAAAGTATTCTCCCTTTAACATTTACTGACTTTATGACCTAAATTTGACCTTATTCCATTCCCCCTGAAGGGATGTATGTACGACCGTCAACGCTGCAGCTGCTGCTAACATGCAGCCTTCATGCTTCTGTCTACATTCCCCAGACAGACATTAATAATCGCACCAACAGCCCCTCTGCTGTTCCCATGATTTTTCTTTTTTTTACTATTACAAGAGTAGATCAGGTTTATTAGTGGAAGCAAGTCTCTTTAATGCAAACCACCGCAGTTATTTCCAATGTGTTGCCTTTTTTTAACAGCTGTGTAAACAAACCAACACACAAATCTGTTGCAACTCATCACTTCCAGCTTCATTGTGCGTGTTTACTCAAGTGAGTGGGAAGTGGGGCTTATTGTGGCGAGTATTTTAGTTACACACACACACAAAATATCCTCAGCACTTCCCGGTCAGTCATCACAGTAGGGTGTGCTGCAAGAGGATAGGATGTGCCACCTGTTCCTCTGACAAATGCTTGTCTTCCTTTTGTCTTTCACACAGTAAACATGCAATGTTCCTTAATCAGCTCATAGAACAGATTTTGTTCTATCTCATCAAAAATGCTGTTGCAACGTATTTTACAGATTGCACATGTACTAAATCTGCCGTCGTGTTGCACTGCTCATGTAGACCGCTAAATAACAACAGCAACACTGGACAGCAGCCATGTTCAGAGTGAAACGCCAAAATCGTTCCCATATCAAGTCCCCGGTGCATGTGTTGTGTCAGCTGGCTGTGACTGAAAATATACTTTGGGTTTTACCGTAACAATCAGTGATACAGCCCCCTGTAAATCCCTTCAAATCCCAGCTCTCCTCTACACCTCAGCCCAACAGTCAGCTCCAGTTCTGACTTCTGGGCAGAACAAGAAAAGATTTGCATGCACACATAAAACGGGCAGCTCCACCTGCGTGCATGCGTACTTGTTCTGCCTTGTCTCGGACTGTGCTGCAAAAACAAACATGGATTCTGGAGAACGACACTCTTTGATGCTCTTTGTGGGAGCCGTCTTGATTACTGCTACAGGTAGGGACTCATTTCCATGGCGCTGAAATGTTGTTAATGCATGACTGTGATAGCAAAGGAGCAAACGTTTAAAAAATGTCATCCACATATGACAAACCCATTCAAACTCATGTAGGTTTACAATGTACCAGTTACATGTTAAATATTCAGTTGCACATGTGACTTTAATGAGCTTATTAGGTTTAAAGTTGTGAAATAACAGCTCTTGTGCCTCACTGTGTGGCAGAACATGACAGAAGACATGTGCTGTGTGTAACATGATCTGTTCAGCACTTTGACAGGACCATTGTCTTCTTGTTTGATCCTTACCAAAGATTCTGAACACATCCCAATGTAAAACCATATTGTTGCACGACAACTTAACCAGTAAACCCCTCAAAGAACAATCTGCTTGTTTTTTTGTTTTGTTTGTTTTTTTGTTTCAAATGTAGATTTTTACTTAAATTCAAGGAGAAAGGTCACTCTTATTCTAAACTCTCCTAATTTAGAGCATTTTAATTGGAAAACACAACTTTATTTTTAAAAATTGCCAATCATTGAGTAGCTCGCCTCAACAATGGTGAAAAAAAGAGTGACAACATTTAAAAAATAAACGTCACAAATGGACACAAACTCCAGCAGCACATGGCTCTAAAGCACAAAACCTCAAGTATCCTTGGGGGACGTTTCCAGCAAAAATGTATGAAATCCTTTAAGTGTATTTTTTATTTTTAACCACATTTGCAAATTCATCTACTTTAAAATCTACCCTGCAAACCATCAGTCGTGATAAAGAAACAAAGTTCCAGTTGTTTACTGAGAATCTTCAGTGACTATGCTCATCAAAAGTTTCTTGTGATGCTTGTTTTTCTTAAAGTATCTGCAGTCAACCTGGAGGGTGAACTTTTAAAGGATCTGATGAAGGGTTACAACAAAAACGTCCGACCGATGGACAAGAACGGAAAAATCACCCAGATCTTTATCAAGATGACACTGACCAACCTCATCTCTCTGGTGATCAGGCTGGAGTTTGTCATTGAGGCCAATCACAGCTCGGGCTCCTTGAGCTAACGCTGTTCTGTGTCTCCTCGTTCTCTTAGAATGAAAAGGAGGAGGCCCTGACGACCAGCGTTTGGATAGAAATGGTGATTCCTACATGAGCGTTTGTCTCAGGCTAATTCCAGTCAAACAGTCCAAATGCCAAACGGACAGATTTTGTGTGTGTGTGTGTGTGTGTGTGTGTGTGTGTGTGTGCGTGCGTGTGTGTGTGTGTGTGTGTGTGTGTTTGTGTGTGTGTGTGTGTGTGTGTGTGTGTGTGTGTGTGTGTGTGTGTGTGTGTGTGTGTGTAGGAATGGTGTGACTACAGACTGAGGTGGGACCAGCCCCCTCGATCAGATTTGTATGGGAACATAAAGTCTCAGCTGAGGGTCCCCTCCAAAAGCATCTGGCTGCCTGACATCGTATTAGAAAACAAGTGAGTGTGCTGTCCTTCACACAGGAAAATTCAAGTTTCTTTAGTCAGGAGGGTGTTTTTCTTTTAGGCATCACCAAAACAGTTTAATTAAATTAATAGAAAATTGTAGTAAAAGATGTCAGTTGTGTCATATTTGAAATCTCTAGCTCTTTCTCTCTAACAGGATTAGTGCATTCCACACAACCCTGCTGTATCACAGCTTATTGGTGGGTGGAGCTACTCCACCTGGCACTAGCACCTGAGTCACCCATTCATTTGTTGATGACTGAGGCCTAGTCCACACGTAGCCGGTTTTCTTTAAAAATGAGTATCCGCCCCTCCAAAAACTTGCTTCCACACCACCTCGTTTTTAAAAAAAAAACTGTCCACACGTACCCGGATAAATACGTTGTTAAGGACATGCCAGACCTGTAGCCGGCAGTACTTCCCCCATTCTTAACCTCGTCCTTCGTCTGTGGTCTTCCGCAAGGAGCAGTAATTCCATTTGCAAAAACAAACAAGCAAAAAGCGCTTGGACAATTGATAAAGCGAGCGCAGCTCTGAGGGCATCCATGCTGTCGGCTAGTGTAAACACAGGTCGCACACGTGATGTCAGCATTTTTGTATCGCAGAAAGTGACGTTGCAGACCTTAAAACTCCGGTTTGGTCTGTTCACACGCAGACACCCAAAACGGAGAAAACGCAGATCTTCACTTTGCCCAGAGTTTTTAAAAAGATCTGTTTTCGTGTGAAAAAACCTCCATTTTCGTGTGGATGACAGGCCAAAACGTAGAAAAATATCTACATTTTGGCAGATCCCCGGCTACGTGTGGACAGGGCCTGAGTCTTCCACATTAAACAGTAGAGCTTGTCAAAAACATATAAAAGAAACACATTTACCCACCTCCAATCTGTGTTCTCTTTGTACATTTGCTTATTGATTAAAATGGATTGATTCTCCAAATCTTGAAACTTCCTCCTGAATCTTTTTTTTGTGTGTGTGTGTGTGATTCTGATTTATTTGTGTGCATCAACCCTATATTGTTTCTGTTATCTGCAGTGTGGATGGACAGTTTGAGATAGCATATTACTGTAACGCCCTCGTGTCTCCTGACGGCTGCGTGTACTGGCTGCCTCCTGCCATCTATCGCAGCGCATGTCCCATCACCGTTAACTACTTCCCTTTTGACTGGCAAAACTGTACCATGGTTTTCCGGTAAGCGCTCAAGCTTTTCATCAAACAGGCTTTCAGTTCTAATTTGTTACAAAGACGGTCTTTGGGAGGAAAATATCCACCGTCTGTGGGTTGTTGTCTGAATTTAAGCAGTTTAGTGACCTTCATGAGGGTTTACATAATATTAATGATAACATTACAGTCTGTGGGTTTTGTTTGGGTTATTTAAAAGAGCTCATGCTCATTGAATTATTTAAGTAATTTTAATTAAAGTTCATTTGTCTTGTGGTTCATTTCCCTCAGTTTTGCTTCTTATGTCTCGCAGCAGATTTCTTTTTTATCACAGCCCATCTTTAACAGTTAGGCAAACAAGGACTGGATTTGAAAATATCTACAGATATTTATTAATCAATATCTTTATTCATATTGTTCAGGTGATTACAAAGGAAAGACCTGAGTGAAAATGCGCTGGCAGAAACAAACAGATGAGAAATATAGAAAAATTATTATTAACTGCCTAAAATCAACCAAATGGGCTGCAAGGATAAGCTGGTGTGGCTAATCTATAAGACAGAGTTAACCATGATGGGAGTGGACCTAAAGTTGGCACAACATCAGATTAAAAATAGAGACCAAAAATGAAAATGTAGCAATAAATAAGCTGAAGAAAATCATGATGAAAGCTGATTATATATGTATAAGGAAGATAGGAAGCACAGCGATGGTGGCTGGTGAGGTTAATTGTTAACCAAAGGGTTGCAGGTTCATGCCTCATCTGTTCCACTTGTTGTGCCTTTGGGCAAGACTCAACCCACAGCAGTGTTCAGCAGCCTTGCTTCTGTCAGTTTGCCCCAGGGTAGCTGTGGCTACATTGTAGTTTATCACCACCAGCGTGTGAATGTGTGTGCGTGAGTGAATGATTGTGTTGTAAAGCACCTTGGGGGGTTGTAAAACCCTAGAAGGTGCTATTTCAAGCCATTTACAGGAAGCAAAACTAAACAGATTGCAACAATAAAAGTAGGATTGAAACTTAGGTGTAAAAATCAATAATTGAATCAATGCTGGAGAGATCCTAGATACATTTTGATGGCATCTGTGAGAGTGAGCCATATCCAATGTTATTTTTCATGCTGGTTGAGCCTTTAAATGTTCAGAATTTCTTCTGTGGTAGATTCCCCCAACCAAACTGAGGAGAAGGTAGGAGAAGAAAATTAAGAAGAACGGTATAAGTAATTTAAAATTATATAAAGGCACAATCCATGGTCACAGCCCTGGCCAATCAGAAAATTTTTGTTTTTAATCACCTGGTTTAGTCATCAGAGAAAGAGGAACAGCAAACAGCTCCTTCGGGGATGGGCAGATCGATCCAAATATCAATAACATCAATACCAACGATCGTATCGGTATTGGATTGATGATGATGACATTAAAAGAGCGGACACTATTTATTGGCTCAAGTTTTCTTATTCTCTTACTAAGCTCTCCACTGTCCGTCATGTGACCTAACAAGACGAAAGGTCCATTCAACTACGAACTCAAAAAAATGAAACTTTATTAAATCAAACAGTGATTTTACAAAAATAATCAACAATTTCAGCAACTTGCAACAGTATGTAATAGTCAAGCATACTGTGACTTTTGGATTAATCAGTGGTGGTCTTTCCTATCATTTATAATTATTTGGAGGTATGATATTTGCAAATTACATAGTAATTTGAAATGTCTATCAAGCAGGTTATTTTTGGATGGCTGCTTCTATTTGAACTACACTGGACGGCACCAATAACATAATTCAGTCACACTTTTGTGTGCATTAAATTAATCCAGTCTGAACTATTTAGCTATATTTATCCATGTTGCTGTTCATCATTCAGGTTTGTAAAGTAACAGCTGGTTGTTTTTGCCCTGGAGACAGATCTCATGCCTTCTCTCTGTGTTCAGCTCCCGGACTTACAGCGCCAACGAGATTGAGTTGGTGCTCCAAAAAGAGAAAAAAGAAACCAGCTATCATCTGGAGTGGGTGGACATCGATCCACAGGCTTTTACGGGTACAGAAACATTAAAATAAGTATTGATAGGGTTCATGAGATGACTTGTTTGGGACAAAAAAAAACCCAAAAACTTTGATGGTTTTAGAGAATGGAGAGTGGGCCATCAGACACAGGCCAGCCAAGAAGGTGATCAACTCCCAGTACAGCGAGGATTCCTTGGAGTACCAGGAGATTGTTTTCTTCCTCATCATCCAGAGGAAACCTCTTTTCTACATCATCAACATCATTGCTCCCTGTGTGCTTTTCTCCTCCCTCAGCCTGCTGGTCTACTTCCTACCCGCCAAAGGTTCTGATCAGACTTGATGTTGCTTTACTTTGAGATTTGAGCTTCTTTACTGAAAAATGTGACTAAAGGTTGGTTTGCGATTTACAGCTGGAGGCCAGAAGTGCACCATGTCTATTGCCTCTCTTCTGGGCCAGACTGTTTACCTCTTCCTCATCGCTAAAAAAGTTCCTGAAACATCAAACGCAGTTCCTCTCATTGAAAAGTGAGGCGGTCACATTTTTTAGTCTTTTCACTTGTTTTTTTTCTAAAGCTGTGTTGTAATAAACATATTTTATGAAGGTATCTGATGTTTGTGATGTCAGTGACCACCATGGTAGTGATTAACTGTGTGATAGTCCTCAACGTGTCTTTGAGAACCCCAAACACTCACGTGATGACGGACAAAGTCCGAAAGGTGAGATCGCTTCCAGATCACTGTCAGAGACCTTTTTAAGGTTTCTACATAAGAATCAGAAAGTATGTTTGCTTCCAGATTCACATCCTGTCTCATCCTCAGGTCTTCCTTAACATCCTGCCTCAGCTGCTGATGATGCGGATGAAACGCTGGACACCAAACTGTGACAAAAAGTCTCAAAGTGGGTCTGATGAAGCTGAACCTTGCAGGCGCTGCAGCTCCGTTACCCTCATCAGCAAAGCTGAAGAATATTCAGTAAAAATAGCTCGATCTGAGCTCATGTTCGACAGGCTCAAAGAGAGAAACGGACTGATGAAATCAGTGTTAGAAAAGCTACGTAAGTATTTTAAAGCTGCTTTAGCAAATCTTTAAAACAAGCTAGGTTCTGACAGGGTCACAGAACACTCCCCCAGGTATTTCTCCAAGACGCTTCTGCCAGAACCGGAAACCGCGATGCCAAAGGAAATAGGATAGTGCTAAACACCAGTCGCAGTTTTCCTGGTCCAAACGTCTTGTGTCCGTGACTTCAAATGGCGTTTTTCTTTTTGTGGCTCTGGTAATTTGTACTAAAGTTGAAGTTTCTCCTCTGATTTTATTGAGCGAAGAACATCTCACACCAGTAGTGTTCTGTAGCTAAATATGTTAGAGTGTAATCAATGGAGGACCCAGGCAAGTGTGGAAGTGCGGTGGTTCAGTGGGACCAACAACCAGATGGCCCAATAGTTGCTTTCGGTCTGAAACGGTTAATTGGTGGAGGTTTTTAGACAAATATGAGAGAACCACTTTATTAATTGTTTTCATTTGTTTTTAATGTCCAAATATATATTATATACATAGTATAAAGCTATACTATGTTAGAACTTTGTTAAGAGGCATGAAAAACTGTTTTAAGCTCATTTGTTTTCCAAATTTGCCATTGTAGCTTGAAGGAATTGGTACCTGCAGTGAGAACCTTAGTTGCCCTTTAAAGGTGCATTAAAGATGCATTTCCTCAGACAATGTGAAGACAACGTGAATTATTTTGCCTCTTTCTTTCACTCAGATGATGGACTGAGGGAAGGTACAGCTGAGCAGCTGAGATCCAGCTTGGAGCAGGCCTCTCCAGAGCTGAAACAGTGTGTTGCTGCTTGTAAACACATAGCAGAAACAGCAAGACACCAGAGCAACTTCCAAAATGTGAGCTCAGGTTTTTATTTTTATCTTCTTCATGCAAAAAGTATAAATTTAGCTGTTAGGGTTATGGAAAGGGTACCTACTGTCATGTTCTGCGTCCCCCTCATGTGTCCCCTTGTGTTCTCCATCCCTCTCTAGGTTCCCCCATGTGCCTCCTAGTGTTCCCCAGCCCACTCTAGGTTTTCTCCTTAGGTGTTCCCCTTAGGTTTCTGTGTCCCTGTGGTCCCCCGCCCCCTCCAGGTTCTCTCTAGGTCTCCCTCACGTTGCCCTTAGTCACCCCACTTATCATTAGGTTTCCGTCATGTTTGGATTATTTAGTCAGTATCTCCCTTTGGTTCATTTTTGCTTCCTTCCCCAGTTAGGTCTGGTTTCCTCCCCTGCTCTGCTTTGCTCCTCCTCTCTGTTATTAGTCTCAACTGTGTCCAATTCCCTTAATCACCCAATAACCCTGTCTACCAGTGTGTTGTCGGTCCATTGTTGTTGTGTCAGCGTTGTCTCGTTCCCCCCTCTAGGTCTCTAGGTATTTGGCTTCCACAAGGTCTCTAGGTTTGTGCTCAATAAGTGAGCTTTCGTCTCCAGGATTTTTGGACATTGGTTTCTTTGGCTTCCTGCCCTCTTTGGATTTATTTGGACATTTATTCCTAAATAAAGGAGTTTACGTTTTTTCTACCTGCCATTGTCGTTATGGGGTTTTCTGCATCTTGGGTCCTAACCTCCTCCTGGCTCACAGCGTGACACCTACGCTCTTAAGAGGAAGCCAAGCAGACTAAGATATTGGAGCAAAAGTCAACTGATAACCAAAAAGTAGACAACAGATCATAAATATTATAGTGAAAGTCTTAATCTAGGTCAATAATTTCCCTACGGGGTAAACAGACCCTTTGCATCTGGAAGTGAAATATTTTTAACGGCAAAAAAAGCATCTTATCCATAACCGGTCCCAAAATCTTACCCCAAAAACAAGTGAAAAAATACACAATAAAATGCAAACATTTGTACTAAAACTATGATTAATGATAACGTTTTATTCACACTAAAGCGAATTACCAAAACCAACATCTGTTGAGTCTGTATGCAGCTTTTCCATAACATCTATGAATGTATTTTCTATTTTTTCTGTGATTTCACCAAGTAAAAATATCACTATGTCATCTGCACATGTGAAATTATACAGATCATTTTTAAACTTACATAAAGGTTCACAATGAGGAGCCCAGAAGGACATCATTTGATGAATTAAAAAATCTCCAGGTTGGTTTGAGAGTGAAACAGGAGATAAGATTCCAAAATTAGTCACAATCTAATCTTATCATCCTAGGAAAATGAAGAATGGTTCCTGGTTGCCCGGGTGATTGACAGGGTATCTTTTATCATCATGGCTTTGGTGTTTTTTGTTGGTACCATTGGGATCTTCCTGATGGGCCATTTCAACCAGCCTCCCTTGACACCTTTCCCTGGGGATCCAAAGATGTATCTTCCTTTATTAGAGAACGACACCGTATAAAACAAACATCTAGGATGAATCACGTCTAAAGTAAAATGAAAAAAGGGAGAAAGAAGAAAGCAAAGCAGTGAGTTGTGAGTCTGTGAACAGAGAACCTGTTCATGTTTCATAATTAATTGTTTGAATGTACACTTTCATGAATAAAAATAATAAAATGTCATGTTTTGGCTCTAGTGGAGTATTTTTTTCTTTTGATTATCCATAATGTTTGCCACCATCCTTGGAGCCGATAAGGAGTCTGCGTATCTCTCGCCTCCTGCTGAAACACAATCACTCATCACCCCCACCCAACCTCTGGAAGCAGGATTTCAATTACATGGCTGAATGGTGCCTTTCTGACGCAACAAAAGGCAGATCTGGCTGGTTGAGATGGAAACAGAGTCGGGGTGAAACAGAGAAAGCTGGCATGAGACATGCCAAGAAACACATACACACACAGCACAAAACAAAACAGCACTACGAGGAAACCCACAGGTGGTGAGAGGGGTGGTGCTTAACCATTCTCTTCCATATCAAAGTGAGACGATTGGACGATTCCTACACGTTCGGTAAGAAGCAAGACACTTTAGTTTGATTGTGTTTCTGATCGTTAACTTCAGTTGATTGAGCAGGGTCGTTGGTGTGTGACATGAATGAAAGAGGCTCAGACTGGCTGCAGTGGACAGAGTGTTGTTTACATTGCTGCCAAGGAACTGGATTAAGACTCTTCTAAAAAGCACAGCATCAAAAGGGGAGAGTTTCTTCAAGGAAAGAGTTTTCCATCACATCTCTAAAACTTCACTCACTTAGGTAAGGGCTTTGAATATTACACATTAATAATATTAGAAAATCTAGTAAAATACAGCTTATTCTTTGTGTTTTACTTCAGATTCTGGCAAGGGCTCCTCATTCTTGTCTTTGTGAATATTGCTCTTATTAAAACTATTTTCAAGCGTACCATATTTGGGGGCTCATCCGGGATATAAACTGATCTTTTGATCTCCGACTGGGGTTTCAAAACTCATCCTTGGTCCTCCTCAGACTCAGATCTTTTTCAGTAGACACCATGTCAGCTGTGACCAATCAGCCTCATCCGTTTGCTCGACTTGAGCGAGAGAAGCACATCCAGATGATCTTCAGAGCTTTCAACAACCAATGCGGGCCTTCTTGTGAGTGCCAGGCTCGCTCACCTGGATCCAAATCCCACAGAGTGCTTCCTGACAGTGAATCTAAACATCAGCTGTCAGACCTGACCCCTCAGAGGGAGCTGAAGGACTTCCACATACAGCCTCCAGAGGCACCGAAAAAGCTGGACATGATGGAGGAGAAACTTGAAGATGGATCAGAGCTGGACAGCATTTCTGCACTGGAGACAGTCAGTCAGATTCACATCACTGCCAAACCAGACCTTCAAGGTGAGTAAAAGGTGGATGTGTTGCAAATAAAGGGTTGACTTGGATGGTGTTCCTTTCTGTTTAATAGAATATTGTTCTGTTATTGCAGGTCCACAGTGTGTCTCCAGAAAAATCTACAGCATTGCAACTGGAGGCAGCAAGTCACAGCTTTTCGTGGGTGTGGAAGGTATGGATGCCAAGTGCAAATTTTTTGTGAAAAAAAAAGTTTACTCTTCTTACAGTGTGCACATTTTCAGTAGCCTAGAAATACAGACAGATCGTAGCAAGAGCAAAATGATATAGCTCTGCAGGTTGGTCTAGCCACGCTTCAATCAGTGCTCTGTTGGTCTGGTGAGCAGGATGAGCACAAGAGCTGCAGCGGAGTGAAACAACTAAGATGGCAGAAGCTTGTTTGAAACTGCTTCGGCGTCAATTTTGGACTATTTAAACTTGGGCGTCTTTTTGAATCAAAATCAGACACGGGTACTTAGAGGTCAGCTCGTCTCATATTTTTATTACATTTGCAGTGGTCTCCAGTAGAAATTAATTCTATTAGAAGCCAATGCAGGAAACTGAGGTAGAAAACTACTTTCATGTTCAGCCTGCATGACAAACTTAAGAGTGACCGACTATAATCAGAAATAGGTGCCTAGATCCATCCCATTCCGGACCATGGGTCCCTGGAAGAATGACAAAAATGAATGCAAGTCAGTGGGGCTAAAAAGTTGTTTTCTAATCCCGCTTGTTATGTGACATGGAGTTCACATATGATGTCTGTGAATATTAAAGACGCATTTTGATACCAAGAAAGCACTTATTTTTGAACAGGGGACACACACACACACACACGTTATTTTAGGTTTTGTGTGAAATTATGTCCAGGACTACAAATGCGCTTCACCAAAGTGAAGTCATCGAACCAGACATGGAGAAAAACAGGGAAAATGACTGCAAGTTCAGTGAACTTTAAATCCTTCCTTCAGGAATCTCTTTTAGTCCTGTTGACTTGCATTCATTTTTTTCGTTCTTCCGGGGACTCATGAGCCGACTGGAAAGGGAGGAGACGTAGGCTCCCTATAATAATTAAAAAAAATGCTTTTGAACTGAAGTTGACCTTTTAAGTCCTTTATTTAGAAAAATATTTTATTTGTGTCTTGTTCGACAGTATATGGCAGACTGACCCATTGACTGACATGCGAGTAATTTCATAGACTGGTCCTAGTGCTGTCCAATAGCATGTGGAGACAATGTGAAAGACAACATGACAGAGCTGGTTATGGGTCGTGGCCAGACTATATATTCACATACAGGATAGCTTGCCAGGCTATACTTTAACTCATTTAGATTAGAAATGGCCTAAAAATGGTCTCATATAAAAAGAAGTGGTGTGCTCCATCTTTTGCACAAAAAATCCCTTTGATTCCAGCAGGATGATGCATTTCAACTGAAAATGCAAGAATTTAAAAAAGCATTTGAGTGAAGTTTGTAAAACTCTTTTTCTGGCAGAGAGCTCCTGTATATGCCTCCTGTGTTGTGGTCCAGCTCGCCCCTGCTCCATGAAGGGCGTTGACTGTAAGGGACGCCAGGTCTTTTATTTTGAAAGGCCCCTCAGGGTGGACGCTTGCTGCACTGGGTGCTGCCTGATGGAGATGAGAGCATATTCATCTCAAAAACATCTTATTGGCACTGTTTATCAGAGGTAGGACAGTGTAAATAATACACCATTCTGTTCCTCTTACAATAGCAACTATTGTGTCTTTTAGTGTTGACATGACATTCAGAGTATACCTCACCCCTCACTGTTTTTAGTATAGTGGAGATCCATAGCAGGTACCGGTACATGTGTGCAGCTAATCAGCAACTACTACTACTCAGGGACTTGCTATTGATGTTGAATCACATAATGCAAGCACTGTGGGGTCATGGCTGAGAAGAAAATTTGTTAAATATTTAAACTCTCTGTTGAGTGGAAGTCATCATCTATGACACAAAACTGGGGAAAAGGGAGGCTCTAAACTTTCATTACTATGAGAATCTTCAACAAAATTTGTAATGAATGGTCTTGTTTCCCAAATTGGTTGCAATTTTTACCAAAAACCAAACTCACAATAAACATAAACAGAAATCTTACATGTTCGATGTCACTTAGAAGCCAAAATATAGTCATTAAAAATATACATCTCACCTGGCATTTCAACATCTTTGGAAAACAGGTTTTCTCCTGAGACTCCTGTGCTTGTCAAAGTAACACTTAAAATTCTCAGACTTTTTCCATGTCACTTCCTGTCTCTGGCAACCCTTAGTCACCCTCTTGGGCCTGTCTGTAAATAGCATCGAGGGCCTTCAATGTTCCACCACCCCAGAGTGGTCTGAACCTGAGAGAGTTCATGGACAAACAGCTGTCTGCATAGAAATACACCAATAGACGTGTCAAGGAAGGAATGTGGCGTCCTTTCTGACAAGTGGGAACACTTTTAGTCAACGCAATTGCTTCCTTCTTCGTGTGGCCGAAATCTGACTCCTGGGTTAGCTAGAGTGTCTTTACTTTCTAGAGCTCAAACTGTCCAATTAGGACTGACCTGGCAGACGTTCTGATGACCAGAGATCAACTCGATATAAGTATTCCCTCGGTTGTGCTAGAATAAAGCGTGCCCCAATTGGAGCTACTCTGACACCGAGCAGACAATGGTTTTGGTGCTGCAGAGTCATGGCAGCTGAAAATGTGACCAACCAGGCATCAGGGCGAGCTGCGCCACCATTAAGAACTGTGCCAGGTTGATTGTTGCGGTGTGTTATCAGGTGGAGCATGTTTACCCCTCTCCTGGAAGTGTGTGATTCAGACGGAGCCTCCATAGTCAGGATCCAGGGCTCCTGCTGCCCCTGGCGCTGCTTCTCCAACCAGCAATTTCAGGTTTATTCAAATCTTCCTATAAATAATACCTGTGCTGTTAAATCACATTTTTAATGGCTCTAAAACATGTTCACTAGATTGTCTCCAACATCGGTGAACAAGTGGGTACAATATGGAAGAAATGGCCTGGTTTCAATGTTGGACATAACATGGATCATGAATACTTTGGACTAGAGGGTGAGTTCTAGTATCACAAATATTGCGTGTGTTGCATCATAAACACATGATCCTAAGATAAAGAAGTTAGAAATCCTGACATTTAAATATTTTTGTTCCATCCTCTAGTACATTTGAGTTTGGATTCACAGACAAAACTCCTGCTTCTTGCAGCTACTTTCTTGTTGGTAAGAATTTCACCTTTTGATATAATTTGTTAAAATAGAGAAACAGGTTCATTTATCTTTACAATTAGATGAATTGCAATTATATTTTCTGTTCTGTTTACATCAGTTATGGGGAGTATCCCAGGAAATGACATAACTTTTAATGTTTAAGTTTCCAGAAGTTTTACTCTCCTTTCCTGTATTTATTTATTTATTTATTTTTTGTTAGATGTGTTTTGGAATCGTAGGGCGTAAAAAATAAGTGACTTGAAACGTAACAATATGGCGCCCCTTCACTTCTGGGACACGTCCAAAATGTCACACTTTGGCTAAGAGCCAATCCACTATAAAGAGCCCATCCACTATAACGGTGACTAATTGTCATGTAATATGTTTAGAGCTGCCTTCATATCCAGTGGAAAGAAGAGGTGAAAGGGAAATTTTCCTCTCCACTGTCGCTACATGCTTGCTGCTTAGCATAAGGACTCAGTGCAGTCTGCAGGGTTTTCTTACATAGGAATCTTTATTTTGTTAAGTGCCTTGATGAGACAACTCTTGTGATTTGGCGCTATATAGACTGAATTGAGCTAAAAAAAAAAGTAGAGCCTGACCGATATGTTTTTTTAAAGGCCGATGCCGATTTTTAAATAATTTTGTTGCCGATGGCTGATTTCTAAAGCCGATTGAGGTCCTTCTCATGAAATTAGCATATTGTGATTAAGTTCATTAGTCTGTAATGTACTGAAGTATTTGAAGCCTTTTATTCTTTCTAATATTGATGATTTTGGCATACAGCTCATGGAAACCCGAAATTCCTATCTAAAAAAATTAGCATATTTCATCCGACCAATAAAAGAAAAGTGTTTTTAATACAAAAAAAGTCAACCTTCAAACAATTATGTTCAGTTATGCACTCAATACTTGGTCATGAATCATTTTGCAGAAGTGACTGCTTCAATGCGGCATGGCATGGAGGCCATCAGCCTGTGGCACTGCTGAGGTGTTATGGAGGCCCAGGATGCTTCGATAGCGGCCTTAAGCTCATCCAGAGTGTTGGGTCTTGTGTCTCTCAATTTTCTCTTCACAATATCCCACAGATTCTCTATGGGGTTCAGGTCAGGAGAGTTGGCAGGCCAAGTGAGCACAGTAATACCATGGTCAGTAAACCATTTACCAGTGGTTTTGGCACTGTGAGCAGGTGCCAGGTCATGCTGAAAAATGAAATCTTCATCTCCATAACGCTTTTCAGCAGATGGAAGCATGAAGTGCTCCAAAATCTCCTGATAGCTAGCTGCATTGACCCTGCCCTTGATAAAACACAGTGGACCAACACCAGCAGCTGACATGGCACCCCAGACCATCACTGACTGTGGGTACTTGACATTGGTCTTCAGGCATTTTGGCATTTCCCTCTGCCCAGTTTTCCTCCAGACTCTGGCACCTTGATTTCCGAATGACGTGCAACATTTGCTTTCATCCGAAAAAAGTACTTTGGACCACTGAGCAACAGTCCAGTGCTGCTTCTCTGTAGCCCAGGTCAGGCGCTTCTGCCGCTGTTTCTGGTTCAAAAGTGGCTTGACCTGGGGAATGCGGCACCTGTAGCCCATTCCTTGCAAATGCCTGTACACGGCAGTTCTGGATGTTTCTACTTCTGCAGGTCCCCCAAGGTCTGGAATTGGTCCTTCTCCACAATCTTCCTCAGGGTCCAGTCACCTCTTCTCGTGCAGCGTTTTCTGCCACACTTTTTCCTTCCCAGACTTCCCACTGAGGTGCCTTGCTACAGCACTTTGGGAACAGCCTATTCATTCAGAAATTTCTTTCTGTGTCTTACCCTCTTGCTTGAGGGTGTCAATGATGGCCTTCTGGACAGCAGTCAGGTCGGCAGTCTTACCCATGATTGTGGTTTTGAGCAGTGCTTAATTTGAGCCGGTGTTCTGGGAATTTCTCCTACCCCGTAAACCGTCCTACCCGTTGTTACTGAGCATGTGCGCGCATGCGCACAACACAAAAGGGGAATGCTACTCCCCTGTCATATTTGCAAGAAAATAGATAAGTAGTAAGTATTAGTACTGTTTATTGATGTTGGTACTTGATTTGATTTTTTTTGGGTTAGGGTTAGAGTTATGGTTAGGGTTTGTGTCATGTAAACCACTGTAAAATTATCCTACGGGTAGGACGTTTTCTCAGAACACCGGATCTTGCTGGAACAAGATCCGGGAACTATCTTATTTTGAAAGGACCGTTCCGGCAACTGTCTGCTAGGATCCAGCAACTCACTCGACAAACTTGTGCTATACACAGGATTTGAATTACAGGTGAACTAGGGAGCTCCTGGAAGCCCTCAACACACCCAGGGGGAGCCCAAAACGATCCTGGTTCTACTTATATTACATTATCTATGTGGACTCTCTGGGAATTATTTAGAACTGAGAGGCACAGAGCTCTGATCATTGATGCGCTGGGTTTTTCAAAGCCTCAGGAATCTTTTGCAGGTGTTTAGTTAATTAGTTGATTCAGATGATTAGGTTAATAGCTCGTTTAGAGAATCTTTTCATGATATGCTAATTTTTTGAGAAAGGAATTTTGGGTTTTCACAAGCTGTATGCCAAAATCATCAATATTAGAACCAATAAAAGGCTTGATCTACTTCAGTTGTGTGTAATGAATTGAATATACATGAAAGTCTAATGTTTATCATTACAGACAATGAGCTTTATCACATTATGCTAATTTTTTAGAAGGACCTACATTTTATCAAATAAGTCAATAAATCTCTTTATATTTATTGAACTTCATATAAAGAACAAACTCGAAACATAAAAATATGGTATATTGGGGTCCTTCAGGTCTTTTTAAGTCTAGTAGTGGCAGTTGGCCACACAGGTGCCTTATTAGTTTTTATTTTTTTAATCAGCTTTTAAAAATAATTTTTGGGCGATGGCCGATATTGAAAAATAGATATATTGGCCGACCTTTAGAAAAATGTCATGTGCAAGTGTGTCACCACTCTTTCTGTTTTACAGAATCACATGTTTTTTTAGATGAGCTGATCACAATAAAGGAACTCAAGTGAGACAGCTGCTTGATGGAACGCTAAAATGTTCCAGAAGTAACCAAGTTTCTATCACAGAGAAGAAAATACAAAAGTGGAGAAGCATCTCAAACCTTAAAATAAAGGGTGGAGCCAGATTTAGCAGCAAATCCAAATATAACATTTATTGCTATAATTCATCAGGTGCACAACAAACATTTCTTTGCTTTGGATGTAAACACCAGCTTCCATCACCGCACCTCCAAGTTTGGACATTTTTCTTCCACAAACTACAGCTGCTTTTCGTATTTGAAAAAGTTTGTCCAAGATAAAAGCTGCAAACCTCGATCCTGGGCTCAGAAAAGGAAAAATGGCAACCCTTGGTGTTTAAGGACTACATATGCCTTTGAGGACCTTAAAGCTCTTTGTGTGAACTTTTTGAAGACAGCGAACAGACAAAAATGTCAAAGGTCAGGTTAGACCTGAGAGCAGGCACAGTGATTTAGGCAATGTGTATTTCATTGTAAAAGTGGTAGAACCTTCTGTCCAACACAGAGCGCATCCTTAGAGAATAAACTCCCATGTCAAGAATAGAGAATTGGTGCCGTTTCAGTTAAACGAGCTTTATGTTGTACACAATTATACTGCACACAATAATAATCTGTTCAAGTTCAAAATGACCAAAGGAAATGTAATAAAAATACAACGCTGTAATAAAATATTGTCCACCTGCCACCCTGTTTTGAGTCCCGCCATTAACAGAGTTATTTCAACAGCAATAAGTGATTTACAGTTTTGTATCAGACTGATTTTGTTGTATTTTATCTAGTACTCTTTGTGGACAGTGACCGATCAGATCAGCACACCAGTCACACAGCCGCCCTCTGGTGGCAAGTTGACAGATGTTACAACCTGCTTTAAAAGAAGGGGAAAAAATAAATAACAGAGAAAGTTTGTTTTTCCCTGGTTGGTTTAAATATTTTTTCTTCCATTTCCTTCTCTCTTCTGCTGACATCTTTCCATTCATACGTCAAATTGACACAAATAGGGAATGGTCTTCGAGCCTCTCTTCCTGCTAGCTTTTGCTCTGTCTTCTCGTTACACAGCGCCGATCCATGCAGAGGTTTCCTGCCCTGGACTCGTCCACCCCTCAACACGTTACATAAACACACACCTATACAACACACACACAGCAGGATGAGCATCAGCTAGAATCTTTTTCTCTTCTTTTTGTAAAAAAAATTTTTCATTTCTTACTCTCGGCAGAGCATCTCTGTGTGAGGGGCTAACGTCCGCCACTAGCATTCACCAGCCCATGGAAGTCTTCCCAGGCTCTGGAAAAAGAGGGACATCCAGTGCATCATCATTTCACAGAAAAATAAAAGTCTTCAAATATGCATGAATTTTCAGCAGATCACTTAAAACAGGGTTAATTTAGCAAATGTTTTAAGATTTTAGCATTTCAACTTGTTAGGTGCCATTTGTTTTTGCAGTTACGAAAATCCACCATCTCATTCTGAGTGATGAACTTCCACGCTCACATCACATTTATCCGGGCTTTCCACCGGATGCGTAGGCGCTGTGTAACGTAATACGCACGTTTTCCCCATAACCTCAAGAATACGTCTCTTCCCACCATTAGAATTTCAAGGCATCTGATTAAGCGACATCACCAAATCACCAGAGAATAGCAAGATCACGCGTGATTGTTTTTAGATAACCAACATCACCAACCACCAACATTCCGGAACTGCGCTGCTCTGGGTGGCTGCATGTTATGTTTATGTTTATGTGCTTAGCAGACGCTTTTACCCAAAGCGACTTACAATTTTTTTTAACCTATAGGGCATGTTGTGATCTGTGGGGGAAACCGGAGTACCCGGAGGAAACCCACGCATGCATGGGGAGAACACGCAACTCCACGCAGAAAGGCCGCAGCCGAGTTTCGAACCTGCGACCTTCGTGTTGCGAGGCAACAGTGCTAACCACTGCGCCACCATGCAGCACTGTTGGAGTAGCTCTGTTGACTATATGCAAGATTTGCCTTTTCTTGGACATTTTTTCTTCTGGTTTCTCGGGAGGAACTATATTTTTTTTGAACATTTTACTTTTCTGTTTCTGGTGCTGTGAAGCTTGGAGGATTTTTACAGCTATTTTTTCACTTTTTGAGCATTTGTTATGATGCGTAACTAAGGCAACAAGCTGGTTTACAATCAGGAGCAGCTGATTAACATTGGGAAGGCTGAAAGAATACCTCAACTGAAGCCACAAATCCCAAATGAGCTAAAACGCAAGAAGCGTGGGTGCAGAGCGGGAGCAAAACGGAGACAAAGAGGAAATTCAAACCATCTCTTCCATCGATCATAATGAGCAATGTGAAATCACTGGCCAACAAGATGGATGAATTCCAAGCCCTTTCAAGGACTCAGCCAGAGTATCGGCAGTGCAGTGTTATGTGTTTCACTGAGACGTGGCTACAGGACCATATACCCGATTCCAGCGTCTCTCTGCTGCCAGGATTCCTGACTGTATGAGCAGACAGAGATCTGAAGAGGAGCGGGAAAAGAAAAGGAGGTGGAGTGGCAGTGCTTGTCAACAACAGATGGTGCCATCCAGGTCATGTTTCAGTGAAATGTCGTCTCTGCAGCCCAGATGTTGAACTTTTGGCAGTAAGTTGTCGCCCATATTATTTGTCAAGAGAGTTCACCAGTGTTGTCTTGGCAACCGTTTATATTCCACCTTCAGCCATTGCTGAAAATGCATGTGATGCCATCAGTTCCGTTGTCGCTAAGCTACAAACCCAACACCCCAATGCATTTGTGGCTATATCTGGTGATTTTAATCATGCCTCGCTCTCTGCTACACTTCCAACATTTCAACAGTTTGTCAGCTTCTCCACCAGAGAAAACAAGACATTGGATTTGTGTTATGCAAATGTAAAGAATGCGTACATGTCCAAAACAAGACCTCCTCTGGGACAATCAGATCACAATCTTGTTTTTCTCTGCTCAGAATACAAACCACTTGTTCAGAGGCAACCTGTGACAAGAAGAACTGTGAGAAAATGGTCACAGGACACTGAAGAAGCCCTGTAGGGTTGTTTTGAGACCACAGATTGGATGACTCTCTGCCAAGGATATGAAGAGGACATCAATGCCATGACTGGATGTGTCACTGCCTATATAAACTTCTGTGTGGACAATTTCATACCCACCAGAACAGTGAGATGCTTCGCTAATAACAAACCCTGAATCACCAGTGAACTGAAGAATCTGCTAAATGAGAAAAAGAGCCTTCAAGGAGGGAGACAGGGAATTATTGAGGAGTATACAGAAGCAACTGAAGATCAAGATCAGAGACAGCAAGGAGGCATACAGGAAGAAGCTGGAGAACAAACTACAGAGGAACAATATCAGAGATGTCTGGTCAGGGATGAAGAAGATCACAGGCTTCAAGCAGAGGAAAGATTGCACAGATGGCAGCCTGGACATAGCCAATGAACTGAACAAGTTCTTCAATAGGTTCAGTTCAGGAAAAACCCAGCATCCTCCTCGCCTGTCCCCAGCCAATCAGACATCCCATCCTCCTCTGATCCAACATTTTCCTGTCACACGCCATCTCTTTGGTCCTCTAACGCAGTTATGGACTCTTCTGGTTCTATAAATCTGTCTTCAACCAAGTCAGGAGTCGCTGCTGCCCTATTTACCTCCCCCTCCCACCTTCCTGTCTCTGAAAGTCAGGTGAAGAGGCAGCTGGAGAGACTGACAGGAACAAGGCTGCAGGTCCAGATGGTGTCAGCCCCAGGGTACAGAAGGCCTGTGCAGAGCAGCTCTGTGGGATTCTGCAAGACCTCTTCAACCTCAGCCTGGCCCAGAAGGTTCCAGTCCTGTGGAAGACATCCTGCCTTGTTCCAGTTCCAAAGAAAACCCGCCCATCAGTCAACGACGACTACAGACCAGTTGCCCTGACATCCCACATCATGAAGGTCCTGGAGAGACTCCTGTTGGTCCACCTGAATAAGCAAACTAGAACATATCAGGACCCGCTGCAGTTTGCTTATCGCCATAAAGTTGGGGAGTTGAAGATGCCATCATCCAGCTGCTTCAACCAACCCACTGTCATCTGGACAAAGCAGACAGCACTGCCAGGGTCATGTTCTTTGATTTCTCCAGTGCATTTAACACAATCCAGCCTGATGTACTTTGCCAGAAACTCCAGAAGACACAGGTGGGGGCCTCAACTATCGCCTGGATTAAAGACTACCTGACAAACAGACCACAGTTTGTGAGGCTGAAGAGCTGCACATCAAACCAGGCGATCAGTAACATTGGAGCACCACAGGAGACTGTACTCTCACCATTCCTTTTCACCCTGTACACCTCAGACTTCCAGTACAAATCAGAGACCTGTCATCTACAGAAATACTCAGATGACTCTGCAGTTGTCGGGTGTATGAGAGATGGACAGGAAGCTGAGTACAGAGAGCTGGTGGAGCACTTTGTGGCATGGTGTGGAAACAATCATCTGACCTTGAACGTGAACAAAACAAAGGAGATGATTTTAGACTTCAGAAGAAACAGGGTGGAGTCAAACACTGTTTCCATCATGGGAGAAGAAGTGGAGGTAGTTGAGGAACACAAATACCTTGGAGTTCACCTGGACAACAGACTGGACTGGAGAAAGAACAACCAAGCTGTTTACAAGTAGGGACACAGCAGACTGCACTTCTTGAGGATGCTTCAATGTCTGTAGCAAGATGCTACAGATCTTCTACAAGTCTGTTGTTGAGAGTGTAATCTCTTCAGCCATCATCTGTTGGGGTAGTAGCATCAGAAGCAGGGACCTGAAAAGGCTCAACAGCCTAATAAAAAAGGCTGGTTCTGTTCTGGGGATGACTGTGGAACCGCTGGAGGAGATAATGCAAAGAAGGATTCTCCAGAGAATCAAGAAAATTATGGACAACCCTGAGCATTCTCTTCACAAGACTGTCCGACAACGGAAGGGTGTCTTCAGTCAGAGGCTTCTTCAGCTTCGCTGCAATACTGACCGCTACTGGAGATCCTTCCTGCCAACAGCCATTGTGATATACTCTTTGATGACTTGATTATTATTATTATTCTGAGCTACTACAGAAATCAATTTCCCTCTGGGAATAATAAAGTATTTTTGAATTGAATTGAACTCTAGTTATAACCAAACAACTAATTATTTTACATCCAGATTTTGCAATTTCTCTCAGATACAAAGAATGGTTGCTACAACATCTAGCTTCCATCACAACACCTCGCATCCACCACATCACATCTCATTATTCATATCTTGTCATGTATAAATTGTTAGTTTAGGAAAAATAATTAAATTAATTTTATAAACTATATACCCGACTCTGTCTGAATTGATACGAAGTGTGATCATGGTCCCTAAAGAGGCAAAGGACCCTAGAATCTTCTGATTAAATATTCAAAGATCAATCAGATTGATATTTCATTTTTATATGGAATCATCACATCTTATTGGTCGTAATTAGAATGTTTTAATTGCTACACCTACATACTTAATGCTGTCTGTGTGAGTCTTGTACTCCATGATGGTGTTGGGAGGCAGGTTGAGGACTCTACGTAGGGTGTCTCTGATGCGGGCTGTGGTCGCTTGGTCACTAGCTGTTTTGTTCCAGATAGAAATGATGTCCTCCTGAATAAAATGAAGTACATAAAAAGACGTTTCAGTGCAATGGGATCCAGCAGTTACATACAACATTGTGTTATTTGATTTACCTGGAATCGTACCGACACCACCGCCCCACAGATCTCCTCCCCTACCATGAACTGCTCCCCCAGCATGGCCAGAATCAGGTTCTCCCAACATCGGGACGCGAGGCCTTTCCTTAAACGAATGATCCACTTTCCACCCATTTTATTGGCATCATCCTAAACATGCAAGGGGTTTCAAATACGCCTTAGTACACAGAAAACAAAAAACGTTCTACTAAAGTATACAATTACTGCGACAGACACCTACTTCCCACATGGGTTTAATGCCTTCTTTGAAGAGGTGGAAGTCACTATGACCTGTCAGATCACCAGGCCTGATCATGTGACTGTAGAAACGCCAGAACTGCTCCACCTTGACAAGAATAAGCCACAAAATTAAATATGTGAACATGAAACAGCTGAAGCTGAAGTATAAACAAAAGTCCTTTACCGAGGCAAAGCTGCCAATCTGTTTGATGTTTTGCTCATAGCTCTGGGTGCTAGCTGGTCTGCCTGGGGTCCGCCTGGAGTACCAGAAGGTGTAGTTGTACTGAAGAGGGTGCTCTCCTGCCCCTGGAACCACCATCTGTAAAGGACATGGACAAATGTAAATACAGGAGCATATTTATCTACAGTAGAAACAATGCTCTGTAATCAGCCATACTTTTTTCTTGATAATAATTTGCTCCTTGTCATCGTCTTCGATCTTTTCCTTTTCGCTGTCTTTCGGTGATCCCTGATCCTGCTCATGATCTCCACTGTCATCGTCTTTCAGCCTGGATTAGACACAAACCATCAGATATTCATACGTCTGTCAGAAGACACTTTAATGTAAAGTCAAGTGCAGTTAACTCTAGATTATCATGATAAATGATAATATCTAAATATGTAAAAAAAAAAAAGGATCAAAACTAACCAGCTGGCCTCAAAGACCCACGTCAAAACAACGCTATTTAAAAAACTTTACGTCTTAAATCTTGAAATTTTATTTATTTATTTTAAATTAACCCCAATTAAGAATCACACAAAAACAGCACCGGTATCATCACTTTTAGCAGTAAAAAGTCAGAATTTGCTCCTGTCTGTGCTCGTGATGAAGGCCGTGGGAATCTGGTTCTAGTCGATTCTGTGTGCACCTCCTCCGGCGTCCCAACTACTCACACACCGGGGATTAGCGGCCTACCCGCTTTCAGACATGCTAAGCTAAAAGCACACACACTCACAAGACAATTATTTGTATCAAAACCTTTACTTATTTAAAATATCACTATATTTTATGAAAAATCCACTCGCTAAAGTGAACGTAAGTTGTCCACCTCAGCCAACGGCATATCGAACTACCATGCTATAAACCTGACACACCTCTCATTTAACGCACAATTCAGCTTTCATTAACGTTCTAGCTTTCTCTGAGTTGTTTAAAACAACGGGAAGGTCGTGCGATGCCACATAATCAAATATAAAGCCTTAACTCACGCGTCAAATTTGTTGTTCATTATTTTTTAGTCAGGAGTCTGTCGGAGTCCAAATTCTACCTCCTGAGTTCCGCAGGAACGGCGACGCACATCTTACACACATGAACGCGCACGCAGTGATGAGTCGGAGTCGGAAAAGAAGTCAGCAGGTGGCACGCGCTGCTGTCAAATGTAGTGTTGTCCAAAAGTTATATTTTAAGTGGCTTGAATGAGATTAGTCGTTTTCCTAAAGTGTGTTCTTGGACCTTGGCACTCATCACTGAACTATTCAGTAATTAAATATTTCCAAACTCAAGGGATGAACCAGTAAATGAGTCTCAATTGCAACAAGTCATATGACGTTCGTGTAATCCTATTTATTTAGGTAAAACTATAAAAATATCTCCCCAAAACAGTTCACACATAAAATGACTTTTAGCATGAACAGAATTGACAGATTATGTAAAATTGTCATAGATGATCCATCTCTCATGTCCTTCTGTAACAGAGCTTTGCAACTTTTACATCCTTGAAAAAATATATTACATGTTCTATTTAAGTAACTTCTTAAATGTGATCATTAGTCTTTTTCATTACCATTTTCCTGTTTTTCAGGAAGAAGCACAATATGCAGAGTAAACTAAAAGTGAGAGAAAATTCAGCCAAAGTTTAAAAATAACTAATCAGATGTATAACTTTACAAAACACCTGGCTCCTCTGAAGTGTAAGACAGTTGTAGCTGAAAACGTTTGCACAGCTGTGACCCTGGTGCAGAAACACAACATCAAATCCAAGTTACGTTTGAACATTTTATTCACCACATGTTGATATTTTCAAGCATAATAAATAAGAAAAAGTACCACTCGGATCACTTTTTTACAGCTTTGTCAAAATCTGCTCCTCCCGGCTTGAGTGACTAGGAACCTGGTGACTTCAGCTCACGGATATGGACGGCTACGAGCAGACACCCACATACACACAACAGCACATGTGCAGCCGCAACACAGAGAACCGACGGCCTCTTTGTTTGAACTCACATCCTCTGATGTGCCGCAGTACTTGTTTCATCCCTTCGCTTGCCCTCTGTTCTTGCGGCGACTTCAAACCGTGGCTCTGTTCAGGTCCAAGCAGAGCTCTGGACAAAGTCTGGGGGACCACAGAGGAGGTGGAGGGTGAGATGGGAACAAAGTGGACTTCTATTGATGCAAGTTGGATCAGTTTTTGTTATAGATGCGAGCCGATTTGTGGGTAAATAACCAAAATACCGGCTTGTGTCTAGAAACAACACTGCAAACTTCATAAGACGCATTATGTATGTGTGGGTGGGGGGATGGTGTGGTGGTGAACAGGATGCTCTAGGATGGTATGGCATGGCGTGGTTTGGTTGGCTCCGCAGTTGCAGACCATACCCTCACCCCTTGCTCCCTGTGTTTCTGTGAGGACCTTCATGAGAGGACTCTTTGTTCTGGGCCGGCAGTCGCACCAGTGAGTGAATGAGAAAGAGCAGTGGCGGTATTCTTCAGTGGCCGCTGTTTGTTTACACCAGTCGGTCCTGTCATACTTCATTAGCAGCTCAGCCCACAGAAAACCTCTGATGTTCTAATCAGCGCTGACTGTGTAGCTGCGCAGAAACCAACAGCCTCGGCAGCTCGTCCCCTTGCCTCGTCAACCGCTCATGGTACATATATACAAACACAGTCATGCCTTCTGTGCCGAGCGCTGATGGTGGAACCGGTTGTTTCATTGTTGGCCAGGAGACGTGGAGTGGCGATGAGCTGACGTCTGCCCAACAGCAACGGTCCTGGAGAACTAGTTCTTCATGACAGAGATGTGAGAAACCTGCCACCCAGAGACAGACCAGTCAGCACCGTTGAATTATTCAGTGCTGCCATCTTCTGACCACAATTAGTAACACTTATTAATGAATAAAAGACCTCTGGGCCCAACAGTCAAAAGGAAATAATTTCACCACTTTTATTTTGAAATGATAAAACAGCAAGAAAATGTATATTTCAAAAAGCTTTGAACTGGACTTAAACATAAACTAACCTCCTAATCTGACAAAATGCAAATGCAACTGAATTTTTAAATGACACTTATTAGTCGTTAATAACAAAATGACATTTTCTCCCACCGAACACATAATAAAAGCAAAACAAACCAACCTCCTGAATGACCTTTCCAAGACGTTCCTGGCTTTGCACCACTTTTCTGGAAAAGATAAAAATCAAATAGAGCTTGTTTAAATACACAATAACGGATTCTAAAGAAAAAGGGCGAGGCGGCCGTGGACACCGGCGCACAAGAGAAGGCGTTGTCCTGAACCCCTGGGGGACAGCTGAAAACGTCCTCTCTTTGCAGCACAGCTAAGGTGTGAAACTAAGCAGTAAATCATCCTCGGTGTAACTTTTTCAAGGTTTAGGATCAAAATTTGTCAACGGATTTTTCATGTTGAGCCTGCTGGAAAAATAAAAGGAAACAAAGCTGTTGTGGTGATTAGTGATGCACCAATACGAAATCTTTGGGCCGATATGGATATTAATATCACTGTTATGGCTGATAACAGATTTTGTCCGATACCGATATGCTGACATTAATGCTTCTAAAATCAGCAGATTTTGTATAGAATGAAAATTATTAAAGCTGAATTTACGTTATTATGTACACACACATTTCATAATCATAATAATAATAATAATTTTATTTGTAACGCACTTTACATTTCTATGAAATCTCAAGGTGCATTTACAATTCCGAGATGATTACAATCACTGTCACATGACTAAACAAATACACATCACCCCCACCGTCACCCTCTGAAACAGATAAATAGAAACAAGATGGAAAAAATATTGGTTGTTAATATTGGCCCAGTTTTATTTATCGGGCTGATACAGATACGTTAAAAAATGGCTAACATCGACCGATACCAATATTGATGCCAATATATCGTGCATCCCTAGTGGTGACTTCGCCACACTGATACAGATAGCTCTGACAGCCCAGTTAAGAATCACAGGAAGTGAGAAGGTAACCTGTGTATTCTGCGAGCCAGGCTGAGGGTGAAGCTCGATGAGCAGTCTGGTTGATAAGTGGACGGCACCACGGTGTAGCATCCAGGAGGAAGAGTGCAGGCCAGACTGACGTCCTGCGTGTAACAATGGGGGACGCAACTGGCCACGGGATCCTGATCTCTGATAATGGTCTGCTCAGACTTCCCTCTGGGAACCTGTGGACATCAGTAGAACCAGAAACTCTAAAATCAAAACGGAAACTCTGACTAATCCTGAGATATTTATGATGCAGGGTTAGGGATGAGTCTGTTACAGACAGGTAAAACAAATAGACCATGGTAGTTTCATACTTTTCAGGGCAGAAAACTAAATATCAAGTTGAAAAACCGCGTGGGCTCTAATAAATATGATTGTTTTGACAAAAAAAAAAGCAAAAATAATTTTATGGTGATTTTTTTAAATATTGGATTCCACCAAGGTAGCAGTCACTTTAAGAAAAATGAACACAAAAATGTAAAAAAGTCTCAATAAAGGTCCGCCTACTCGGCGTGAGTATGGATAGAGATATGCCGGGTTGATATTTACCATTTATACATCGGCTTTAGCCGAGCTGATTTATTTTTACTTTTTTATTCACCTGTTTTACATCTAATACTTGGTCAGGTTATCAATTTGTTTGATTAGCTGTGGTTAAATGATTTTTTAAAGATCAACTTTACTCATATAACATTCCTAATTCATTTGTAGTGGTCTCTAGTAGGAATGGATGATTTGTTAGTCGTTCTCTGGGACAAAAAGCTCAGGTTCCCCTGTTTGAGGACGTAGAAGTCAAAGGAGTTTCAGGCACTAGGATTTGGAGTCATATTTCCTGATATCTCATCTCTGACTGGGTAACAGCAACGCAATTCTACCACCGACGCAGTTTGCTTTGCAACATTGATGTTTTATCTCCACAAGCCTGAAGAGTTCTGCTGTGTGGTGGAGTTGCTAACGCTAGCGGTAAGCGTCTACGGGGCGAGATGTTTTCTGCCGTTCAGCCTTCCCCATTATGAGCCAAGATTGGCGAGTCGATGAATGTTAAGTGACAATGACAAAGACCTATCAGGCTTTCCTGAACAGAGCCATTTTCTGTCCGTTTTCTACAGCAGAATATTGGTGTAGGAGACTACTTTCATGTTCAGCCTGCATGTTAAACTCAAGAGTGATGGCTCGTTTTCAAAAATAGTAAGTAAAACTGGTTTCTCAGTGAACTTGCTCTTTAATACTGAGCCATGAACAGAATTCAGGTTCAACAGCTGATTAAATCAAGTGTATAAAAACTGATTTAGGTTCAGAAATGTTGTGCGTTCGCTGTTGTTATTAGTGACATGGGAAATGTCTAAAAATCGACCCAAAATACTCGACAGCATATATATCAGCCATGGCCACCAGTGGCTCCCATGTCTCAACTTGGACCCAAAATCTGGCTTCAAATTAAAACAAGCTAATTAGAAGAGTAGTCCTGCTACACATAATAAGACGATCCTAAAGCTTAAACTAACACAGACAACCTCCCAAAAACCCGACTGACCTTAAAAACATGAAAACCTATTGGGTGTAGATCGGTGTCAGGGCGAATCTGGTGCAGGGTAACCTTCACATTAACTCCAGATGTCACTGCTGGTTCGTTGCACACTGTAAAAAAGAAGCATGGGTTCTGCCCGTAGGACAGGAAATTCCTACTTCCTCCTGCTGTCTTTCCCTCCACCCAGGAGCCACGGAAGTAAGTGGTCTCCCACTCGCCATCTGCTGTCGGTGGCAGTGAGGGTGCTGGGTTTTTCAGGGCACTGGGGATGATAAACACATGCATTAACGCATCCATTCCTCTAATGAAAAGTAATACATTATATGTGGGGTAACATCTGCAGGATCATAATGCCTACAGAGATCAAATATAAGCCAAAATACCCGACACAATTGACTTTCTCTTCCTGAGAAGTCGCTCTTACCTGAGGGACGTAGAGGAGGTGGAAAAGACCCGGATAAGGAAGCGGGTCTCAGCTCCAGGCTGGTAAGTGCTGGGAATAAGAAGGTAGTATCCAGGATCCAGCTGCCTGTAGAGGATGACCTCCCTCTCATAGGCATGGCAGTGAGTAGAAGCACAAGGTACTTTGTTCAACATCCGGTTCAGGCTAAAATGCTTCTTTTCCACCTGAGGCGAACAATATGACAACGTGTTAACACACACACGCACGCACGCGCACACACACACACACACACACACACACCATTAATGGTTTCAGATAAATGATGCTACGGACCTTCCACATGTGCAAAGCAATAGCTCGGTAGTGCTGGTGCTTCATGTTCTTGCTGTCCTCTTGTAGCGTTTGTGCGTATTTTGTTGAGTTTCTCCATTTTCGATACTGCAGCAAGGATATCAACACCTCTCCTCTCTCACACACTTTAAGCCAAAACTTTGGATTACTGCTGTAGCTGCTGGAGTTTCGGCTGCCGCCAGCCGAGAACCCTTTGATCCATCGACTGGCCAGGTGATGCTGGTGTGACAGAAGATTTCCTGTAAGTGAAGGAGGGACAAAAAGTGTTTAAAACGTACTGGAATCATGTGTAAAAAAAAAAAAAACAGTTTAGTAAACTGAAGGAATAACCTGTGCATAGGCTCTTTAAATGTCCCTCCTCAGTTATGGGGTACCCCACTGTGATGTCATCAAACTGAGACATGAACTCAGTCTCATCTAACCAGAATTCACCCTCGGCTAACCTGGACTTCAAATGCGCAGCATAATCTGGGTCGAGAGAACTCCAACCGGCACCACTGCAATAAAAACAGAAGCACAAATGAGTCTAGATAAATAAAGTTACAACATAAAAAGTAGGTGTAATTTTAGTTATTGGCCAAGTTTTAAAAAGCAGCTATTTTTTTTCTATAAGTCAAACTGTGATGCGGTCATCGGTGTAGTTGTGATCAAGAGTTGTTGTTTTCATTATTTGCATTTTAAGAACTCTGATGAAGAATCTTCTCACACGTCTACCTCTGAGTCCAAGCACCTCCCCAGCAGCATCGTCCCCATGGATTTCTGATCCGAAGCAGGCGTACTTCACTTCCCGACACCTTCTTCACATCCTCCCACTCCATCACAATCAGGGCATGGTACTGACCCACCTCACCAAGTTCTAAATTTAAAAAAAGAACACTAGAGAGTGATTAATTTGTGGTTCCATCCCTGGATTATCTACAGGTGAACTTCTTGTCTGACCTCCAGGGCTGGTGTGGGTGGAGCAGCTCAGAGCACAGTCATTCTTCACATGGGACAGCAGGCTCAGGTCCAGCTTTTTCCTCCCGACTTGATCACTGTCCTGCTCTGTTCGCCGTTCCTCCTCCGACCCAATGTCTCCCAGGCTCCAGCGCTCAGCGACACCTCCAGTCAAATCCACCAGAGCCTCTGCCACCTGCCCCGCCCACAGATGCTCGTATGAACCGTGAAGCCTGGAGAAGATTACAGGTTTTTCATCTTTACTGAACATGCTTCTTGGAAATACACAAATGAAATAAAAAAAAAATAAACAAACAATGCATCGAGTTAGATCAACAATCTGAGAAGATTTACAAGCTACATACTTTGCGTAGGCCTTCTCCAGCAGGGCAACCCAAAAGGCAGAGGGGGAGTGGCAGCGGGAGAAACAGAGGGCAGAGCCGATGCACGGCAGTCGATCATCAATGGTTACTTCAGTCCAGTCGCCCTGCTGCCAGAAGCGAAACTGAAAGGACCCTCTGTATCTGCCGTTACCCCACTGAGGCTGGTCTGGGGGCAATACCTGCATGCAGGACAAAGACAGAGAGAGCTCGAAAGATTCAGTTGGAGCAAAATATTTATAACACAATAAAATTCTGTTGTTTTTGCACCTTGTTTAAAAGCTGTTGGTTCTTTAGCAGGAAGCTGCACGCACAGAGAAACCAGCAGTCTCCTAACAGACCTTGTTTTGCATGAGCCAGGCTGATGTTTGTCGGGAAGAGAGTTGGCGATGGGCAGATCTCCTTCAAATATTAAATAATGATACATTAAATAGTCACAATGACAGAAACCTGTTTTACTATTAAAATATACAGACACCTGCTATGAAGAACAAAAAAGCTACTTCCTTTATTTAATGTTCTGTTTGCATATCTAATCTTTCATCATTAGCTCAGCTACATATCATGGAAAAGCCCGTTTGACGACGCAGATCACTGAACAATGTAAAGAATCAAAAACATGAACGTCAGAATGAATTTACTGTGGCATTTCCAGCTCACAAACCTGTGGGCGTCTCCAGATGAGTTCTCCTTGCAGCCTAGCGATGGGTGTGGAGCTGTCAAAGAACAGGGATGCGTCCGTGCACGGAAAGTCCAGGTCCTCAAACAAAGGTGTGCCCGAACACTCGGGCCTGCCCTCCTTTCTCATGGCTTTGTGATGTCTGCTGAGTCTGCAGGTCACTGTCTGTCACCATTCTCACTGGATTCACGTACTCCACCTTTGTAATCCACCTTAAAATTCAACAGCGTTATTATACTCAAATGTAATTAACAAGATCCATTCCAGAAGCTTTGGGATGCGGAGGAACAGGTGATTCCCATCATAGACGTGTGATGCTGTCATGTCAATTTGGATTTTTTTTTAAAAAGCAATGATTCCAGAATCTTGGTGCAATAAAGAAGCTCTGAAGGCATAAAAACGGGTCGAATCTGGGACTAACATCTAAATTTGGGAACAGGGTATTTATAGAAATTCCTATTATCTTTGGAAAATGAAAGAAAGTTCGGAAACAAAACAGTTTTCCACACCTTTCCAGACCTGGAAAACTAAATACAAATTCCACTTTCCCATGTTTAGCTCTACATAGTAACACTGCTTTGTATTTCCTGGCATTATTCATGCTTTTTCACCCTGTTAGCAATGCTACAGATGTGGCAGTAAAGGTAAACACATTTTAGACCTTGGAACGTTACAGGGCTAGTAACTATGTGGCTCTCATCTATTTACTGTTTCTTACCTTTCTTTTGCGGATTAAACATCTTTCCTCTCATGAAAACCGGCTAGCACAGTTAGCATCAGCTAGCCTGTGCTACATTCACGGCTAACCTCAGGTCTCCGTATCTCGGCATCTCGCAGTGGTTTCTTAGCTACAACCGCACTGAACTTTTATCACAATGACACATTTTTGTTATGAGTAACGTTGTGAGTAACACACGAGAAGAAAGAGCATAATAACGTGTCTTCTTGGACCACAGGCAGGACAGACGTGCAGTGAATCTTCCGCCCCCACTGGTGCCCTAAATTACACATTACACTCTATCTGTTACATTACGGTAAAATGATTACAAAATAGCATTAGGTCTATAAATACAAGATTATAGTAAAATTACTTAAAATAAGTATTTTCATAACATTTTGGATATAACAATTACATATTTACACTTTTTTATGAGTTCAATATAAATATCTTTATATTTGATCGTGCGTGCGTGTGTGTTTGTGCGTGTGTGCGCGCGTGTGCGCGCGCGTGTGTGCGTGTATGTGTGTGTGTGTGTGTGTGTGTGTGTGTGTGTGTGTGTGTGTGTGTATCAGCCCCATCAAGATCAGCCTCAACATCTCATTTCACCTCTTCTGTTCAGAGCAGCCATGTATAAAGTTGCAGATGGACGTTTTTTAGTAAAACATCTCAAATTGGACTTTTAATGATGAATCACATCCCGCATGTGTTGATTACACAAAATGCTCTAGTGTTGTTGTTTTGTTTTTTACACCTATAAATTATAATACATCTTGTATTATGTCGTCAGCTTCAAATATCTTTGGAGTTCAATCATCGCCATATGAAAATAGAGTTAAATGGAAAACAATTTTTGATTTTATATATTCCCATCTCAACTGCATTTTTCTGGACTGAGATGTCTGATGTATTTCCTGGGATCTGTTTTAGCCACTCTGTGGGGGTTACTGCCCCGAGAGTCTGAGAGATCTGGAAATCCCAAAGGGGCTTGGCTCTCTTGTTCTCAACCACCTGACCTTGGGGCTTCCAGTCCATACTCTGCACAGATGTTTCTGTACCTGATGCCAACCACTTGGTGTGGCGTTCCATGTAAGCTTTCCCTGCCAGCATCTTACACCCTGCATTTATGTGGTGGATTGTCTCAGGGGTGTCTTGCATAGGCTACACCTTGGGTCTTGTCTGGTGTGGTAGATCTTGGCTTCTGTTGCTCTGGTGTTCAGGGCCTGTTTCCGTGCAGCTATGATGAGTGCTTCTCCTTCAAACCAGCTCTTTCTAGACATAGAATGTTTTGATATCAGCCACTTCAGTTATCTGTCAGTGGTACATCCCATGTAGGTGTTGTCCTTTCATGATGGTATTTCCAGCATCTCCTCCTCTGTTCGCCATTGTCTGAGACATTCACTGAGCACGTCATGCCTAATCCTTCATGTACTTATAGATCTTGGATGTTTCATCCTGGACAGTGGCTCTCGCACAAACTGGTCCTCAGCCTCCTTCCTTACGGCTAGTGTATAGCCTCAGGTTGCTGGATTTGGGATGGATCCCTCCATGCATGGTTAGGAGCTTCCGTGTCTTAACAACTGTGGTCTATAGTTCTTCCTTTGCCAATTTATTAGTCCTGCAGGATATCTGATTACTGGTAGGGCATGTATATATATATAACTTTGGGATGTGATTATTATATGATATACTAAAAAATACACTATTATCATGAATAAATTGTGTTCACGAAGTGAAGCCTTTGAATAATCTTGCCAAAACGTAAACACAGTTCTGATATTACTTCCTTGAAAGATTAGCCTAGTGAACTAGACCAAATTCTTGCTTTGCAAAGAATGGTCTAGGCATGCTCCATTGGAACCTCCGCGGCTCCTACTAGGACTCTGGCCGGCCAATCACAGCTCTCTAGAGGGGTTTCAAACACATAAAGAGCTGTGATTGGTCCATAATGGTGGGCCAATCATAGTGCTCTATCTGCTTAGTGAACAAATCACAGAGCTTTATCCGCTTTGTGGGCCAATCAGGGCACTCTATATGCCTGGTGGGTGGGATGATGCAACAGAGTGAAACAAGAGTATGTCACATTCATTGTCCAATGGAATGCGGAGATCATTTGAAAGACAACGGTAGAACCCGCCCCACAACCGAGAGCCGTCAATGGAGCGTGGCAAGACTAAATAATACATTTATTTAGTCTGGCTTGCCAGGCTATTGAAATATCTCATGTTTAACATTCTGTAACAAGGCTGGACTATATAAATTTAGTAAATTAGGATTTCATTACGAGGAGCTGCATTTGCTTATTAAACAAACATCATTTGTTATTGTTTACATCCTTGTGTTTTTCTCTTTACCTCCAAACTATTTTACCTTGCTACGACAGACTCTTATTGCTGCAGCATGAATCTCCATCAGTGCTATTGTTTTTTTTATACACTTATGTTCAAGCAAACACACTTTATCTAAATGGGTGTTTAAAATAAACCCAAATGCTGAATTAATTAGAAAATATATTTTTTTTATTCTGGTGAACTTGGTATAAATAAAACACATCTTCTTGTATATCCTTTTACTTGATTGCATCAGATGTTTTTGAGGGTCTTCTGTTGTTTCGTGACACAATTGCCTGTTAGAAAAGACAAAAGTTAATAAATACAATTATGAGGGATCAGTCTTAATGTATTTCCATGTTTGAGAATGTTGTTAGATATATTAATGATAGTTAATTTTCTAACCTTCATGGCCGTAATGACCCACGGCTCATAAGGATTCCCACAGGCAATGTTGTTTGGCAAGACTGTGAATCTGTTAATAGAAGAGAGGAGTTTTAGATAATAATTCAGCAACAGCAGTAGCTCATCTCCATGCCGGTGTTAGCTATTTATCTTCTTACATTATTGCCTTCAGGCGACAGCCGCCTGTGTCTTCTTGTATCGTGTAGTTTGTCAGAAATCTTAATGGGATTCGCTTTATCTGATAATTTGTGCAGCAAGGGGTCCTTGGAGCTTGAAGACAAATATCACACGCATGTTAGAGAAAACAGAGAAATATTAACTGACTCTAAAAGCGAAAATTGCACAACTTTAAATAAACAAATGCAAGGTATTAGTCAGTAATTAGCTGCAGGTTATAGCTGTACTTACTGGCTTGACTCAGAGCAATCAGCAGCAGCGTTACAGAGACACACACAGCAAGCTTTGTCATCATCTTCAGCTGTTATAGCAGCAAGCTGGGTTCTCAGATGGGATGAACTGTTGAAGTTTGTCTCTGGCTGTGATATTTAAACACTTAAGAGGGGAAACGTCTAACCACAGACACACACACACACACACACACACACACACACACACACACACACACACACGCACACACACACACACACACACACACACACACACACACACACACACACACACACACACACACACACACACACACACACACACACACACACACACACACACACACACACACAAAAACCAAACAGAACTTGGAAAGATTTATGCTGCAGTTGCTATTTTGCATTTGGGTCAAGTGGTAAGCTGTATGTTTCCATACTTACCCACTGTGGTTTGAAACCTTGAGCTCTGGAATGAATAAAAAACAGATCTTGATATTCTTTCATCACACTGAGTCAAATCAGTTGCTTTGTACGCTGCAGCCTTTCTTAGCTGTCTAAACTTGAATTACTCATATCCCGTGCTGCAGTGGTGAGCATTCGATTCTTGTGAAATACAGATCTATGAAAAAGTGTTTGCACCTTTAGAGATTTCTGTTGTTTTTGCTTTTATGTGTTTTGTCACACTCAAATGCTTCAGATCAAACGAGTTTCAGTATCAAAAAACAACATTTTCAAACAATAAATTTGTTTACTGCCCTTCAAACCAACCAGGATCTTTGGGGAAAAGTTTGAAATATAAAACAGACTTAAAGAGCTTAGTCACAAGAGCCCAGGACTTGGATGACTTGCTGTAATTGATGGAAACATGAATTCTGCTTTCTGTCTGGAAATCCCGAAGGAGAATGCCTGACCTTTGACCTTGAACAGGCCATTCATGCAGGAAAATCCTTCAGTGCGGCTGAATTTCCTCAGTGAATACCAGCTATCATAAGTGCTTGATGACAGCTGTTGCCACCAAATGTGGCACAACCAGTTATTAAGTTAAGGTGACCGTTACCTTTCTGTTGTTGGAATCTGGTAAGTTGTAGCCTAGTGAACTAGACCAAATTCTTGCTTTGCAATAATACATTTATTTAGTCTGGCTTGCCAGGCTAAGTAAGTTGAGCTGTCTGAATGAACAGCAGGTCACATGGGTATCTGCTAAGAGCTGAGCTTAAGCCTAGCTCACTGAAAACTTGGCTGAAATTGTCACCAGAGTGCTTCAAGAGTCTGGCACCAACTTAACCCTCCCATTCTCCTCAGATTTACTAACACTTTTCACCCTCAGGGGTCAATTTGACCCCAGCGATATTTGCCTCCAGAAAATGATTTACTGAAAATTGTTGCCTGAGTTTTTATGTCAGACACTTTGTTTATTTGTTAAATACATTAACAAGCCCTTGATAGTGAAAGCTGGCCTGTTCTCTAGCGCCACCATTAGGCCAAACTTAAATCATCAGACCAAAGTTAAAATAAATTTATCTTGAAAAGTTTTAATACAAATCTTCTCATATTTTCTGACAACATTAATGATCACAAGACTATGAACCTTAATGGGTTTTGGTGATGATAGGACCTTTTCTGGAGCACCACGGTCAGGTCAAACTTTCAGTTTTAGAGTTAGTGTATCTTACAAATCTTTCATCCAAATCTTTTCTAATTTAGGGTGCACATTCGTGTGCATCACATGCTGCCCATATTTTGATGCCATATTTGGCAGGTTTGCTTGGCATATATTGTCGGAATGGACAGCGCCCACGAAACGCAACCAAGCACTCATCGACAGTCACATGGGGGCCTGGATTGTAAAGCATGGATAAACGCTGCACCCACTTGTCCCACACGTCCCTTATTGCTGCAAGTTTGTCACGTTCTCGTCGGCCCAGCCTTGTTTGTTTGCCATCAGAGAGTATGACACGGGACAAAACTTGAAAAGTCTTCAGAGACATGGTGGCTGGAAATATTGCCCTTCCAGTCTCAGCTTTCCAAAGGCTTGCTGTTGCTTCACCTTTTGATTTATAAACCCCCAGCCAAAATGAGCAAGCCAATGTGGGCTTCCAAGTCAACTACATCCAAGTCTTTCCAACTGCCCCCATAGACTCGCTTACCCTCTAAATTTGTCATCCCAAGTACAATATTCTCAATTGATGGGGTTATGAAGAGTCCAAATGATGACTTGATGTCTTCGGTGTGGCTGATTGCATATCTTGTGGGGCCTGGAACCATTTTGATAACATTAGTAGCATTGAGTCTACCCTGCTGTTGACGTGGAGAAAGGGACCATGTTATCTTTCCATTTTTGGAGGTGACCGTGTCTGTTTGTTGTTGAGACACAACAGGAGGGTCAACACTCTCATTCTCATCAGACGAAAATCCCTCAGAGTCAGGGTCCTCCTCAACACAATCCTCTGTCTCAGACACATTCTCTACTATGTCACTTTCACTGTCAAAGAGCTGCTGCAAAACCTCACTAACAGTGATTCATTTCCTAGAGCACATTCTCACGTGAGAGAGCGTGCGGGCTTTAGCAGCCTACACAGAGCACACTGACGGGTGCAAGCTTTTATACGTTTGCTCCTCCCTTACTTTGCATATCCCTGTGGAAATACCCTTCCGGTAAAACCCCTCCCTCCACAGCGTGGGAAATATGAGGTCTGAGGAAGGTGTGAGTTCATATGGTCACACACACACACACACACACACACACACACACACACACACACACACACACACACACACACACACACACACACACACACACACACACACACTTCATGTATCAACTAAAAAGTATCAACTGCACCTGCACCTGCTGTTCATACAGTTAAAACAGCTTGGGGCCAAATTGACCCCCGAGGAACACCAATGCATGCAATATGTGTTCAGGACATTGAGAAAACATTATGATGAAAATGTTCTGCTGAATCTGTTGCCCCCATCAAATTAAGAAAAGTCATGAAATATGAAGCAAAAACAAAATAGGCAACTATTAATTTTTGAGTGATTAACATTGAAAGGGGTCAAATTGACCCCAAGGAGAATAGGAGGGTTAGATAATGATGTCATTGAGGAGCTGGGGTTCCTGAGAGAAAGCTCCACCAGCAGTCAGAGTGTAGCGTAAGAGGGGCAGACACCAACATTGGTCTACAGTTATTTGTATTAGAGCATAAAAGTCCACTAAGTTCAAAGTACACAAGTAATAAGCCAATTGTATGTAATGCACGTAATTGTTTTTGTTACTCACAGTTCCCCCACTGTCTGGTGTGACTGATTTAAAGTATATTTAAATAGTAAATGGCGTGTATTTGATATAGCACCTTCTAGAGCACTGGAACCCCCCAAGGCGCTTTACAACACAATCAATCAGTCACCCATTCACACACACATTCACACGCTGGTGGGCATGAGCTACGATGTAGCCACAGCTGCCCTGGGGTGCACTGACAGAGGAGAGGCTGCCGAGCACTGGCGCCACTGGTCCCTCTCAACACCACCAACAGGCGGGGGGGGGGGGGGGTTTAAGGGTCTTGCCCAAGGACACAATGACAGCGACAAATTGAGCGGGGCTCGAACCTGCAACCTTCCGATTACAGGGCGAGCACTAGGGCTGCAACAAACGATTATTTGGATAATCGATTAATCGGATGGGGTCTCGACACGATTAATCGATTAATCGGATTACATGGGGAAATTTTTAAAAACTGCTAGGGAAACGTTATTTCTCTCCTTCCTTCACTTTATTTAACACAACATTATTAGAAAACAGTTCAATAGCAGAAAAACAACATGCCATCACCTAAATTGTCTTATAAGGTGTATAGACAGAGACCCTAAGCTACACCTATCTGTGACCTAAAATGCTTGGTCCAAGTTAAATAGCTTAAGGGCAATTCTCATCTGTTTTGTTTGATCTCATCTGTTGACATTTATTTTAAATGTAATTAAACATAGGCTGTGAATTAATCAAAATTGATCACTATTTCCAAAAATGACTGAAAAAATACCAAATAAAACAAAAGTAAATGAATGCCATCCTCCTTGCGATGATGCCCTGGGATACTGCCATAAAGTCACATCAAGAAATGCTGCTGATCATTCCAATGATCCCAAATAGACTCACATTAGGCCACATGAAAGCAACTGAACCCAAAAATATATTAACCAGTATATAACTGCACTCTCACACAACACGCCTGCAGCAACAGTTAGGACTCCTCCCTCCCTTTTAAAAGCGTTTTTGCTTCTGAGGACATTGTGGTTGTAAAACCACATGCTAGTAGTCTGGCCCCGGTGTGATCAACCAGTTTCTGCGGGAATGTGACGGCGGAACCAGGGCCAGATTAACACTTTGTTGTACCCTGGGCAACAATATTCAAGGGCTCCATCATCACGACCCAAGGATCACCATAATGTGGTCACATACAGAATATTTTACTGTAATATGCAGTAAATATACTCAATACTTGAATGCCTGACAACACGTAACCCGCCCAGAGTAACCTTTGACCCACCTCGTGTGGACTGACCAATGAGGAGAGGGTCTTAACTTGAGGCCCTCTCTTCATTGGTCAGTCTGCATGAGACTGACTCTCAACTGACGTTCAGTCGTAGGCAGCGAAGCGTCTCTGTGCAGCGCAAAAGCCCGGGTGGACAGTTTGTTTAATGTAGGGTGATCATATTTCCATTTCCAAACAAGAGGACAGGGGATCTGTGCCTATGACGTCACACTATGGCAACGCCACACAAACCATGTTGGGACCCATTTTTTGTAAGAACTAAATTAATATCAGATTCTGCCAATAAAAGGGCTCTAAAACAATTCATATGTAAATATTTTGCATATTTAATGCAAAATCTAATTTTTCTGCTTTAGTGCTGCAACAAGGTTTTATTAATAATAAATTATTATACCTTTTGTTTTACTACAGCATCGGTAAGCTTCCTGGTCACAGATTATTAAGGATGCTTGTTTCAGCTGTGAGATTAGACGATAGGATCAATGAAAAAATAAGTTGTCACACACTCCATGGAAACTTTCAGAGAATCCACAAATAGTGGCTTTCAAATGGTTTTGTTACTTTTAGCAAGTTTATAAAAGAAGCAGATGAGACAGCATGTCTGATAATTTAGTTTTTCATCTGATAATATTAGAACATGTCAGTAATGTCTGAGGGGCTTTTATAAACACCATATAACTAACACTACTGGAGAGGGCATGAATTACACAGAGGCTTCTGGGGAGCCCAGTTATGGGGGGGGGGGGGGGGCATTTTGCCTTGGCCCCCAAAATGTCTTGAAACGGCCCTGGGTGTGTGACTGAGTTTTGAAGGTGATCTGAATTGTATCAGATGTATAAATATTACATGTGTATAACTTATTGTTTTTTACTGGTAAAAACTGTCGTGGAGATAAATCTACCTACATTTTACTTTTCAACACTTTGTTTTGTTTTCTTGTTTTTATTTAACTATTTTCCTGTCCTGTCTGTCTCTCATCTTCCTGCATCTCCTCTTAATTCTCCAGAAAATCTGTTGCCTGGATTCTTACCTTTTCACCTCATCAGTTACTTTTGAGCAGATCAAAGGGATCTCCTGACCGAAAAGCGCAGAGCACGTTTTCGTTGCTGCGTGAGGTGACATCACCACAGCACAGGTGATGAGCTCCGCAGTAGCGAGCTTCAGGCACAAATAAGACAGAAAATAGAGAACATGTGCGGACATGAACGATCGTGTGCTAATTATAGTTTTTTGGTTGCGCCACTTTGAGAATGGACCGTGCGCTGGAAGCAGCTGCCTGGATCGCTGTGCAACAATGCGGAACCGGTTCGCAGCAGCGCAAGTCTGCCGGCTCTCCCTCGCGCTGATCTGCGGCTCTCCCTCGCGCTGATCTGCCGGCTCTCCCTCGCGCTGATCTGCGGCTCTCCCTCGCGCTGATCTGCGGCTCTCCCTCGCGCTGATCTGCCGGTTCTCCCTCGCGCTGATCTGCGGCTCTCCCTCGCGCTGATCTGCGGCTCTCCCTCGCGCTGATCTGCGGCTCTCCCTCGCGCTGATCTGACTTGCTCTGGTCTGCGTGCAACGGCGGGCGGGAAGGGGGGGGGGGGGGGGGGGGGGCGCTTTTGGAAGAGTTGTGCGACACAACGAATCGATGACGCAATTCGTTGCCAACGCTTTTAGTAATCGATTTTCATCGAATTTATCGATTCGTTGTTGCAGCCCTAGCGAGCACTATTTAACTTTTGATTTGTTTTGGCCATTGCTGATAGGGAAGTTAAAAGAAAAAGCTGTCAGTCACATGCATCAACCCTACATTTCCTAACTTCCTGCTGACCTTATTGTTGTACCGTCAACAACGTGGCTCATGTATCCTGCATTCTGTACTTATTTAATGATTTTCTGTACAAATTACCTCATGCACCAGTTTTATGATACATTTCACAGAAACTTGGAAGGCAGGGGCTTGTGAGATACAGCTTTTTGGGACATGTTTAAGAATAACTCAAACGAAAAAATAATTGTTTAAGTCAGCAGGACAAGTCAGAATTCAAGACGTCAAATAAAAGTTTTTGAAGTAACTCGATCGTTTTTCAAATTATAGAACAGCTTCAGTTTTAGTAACCTGGGGCCTCATTTATCAAGCTTGCTTACACACAAAGCGGGGTCGGAAAACTGCGTAAGCAACTTTCCACGCAAACTTTGGGAATTATGAAAGAAAACTTAGTGCACATTTTGGATATGGAGAGCACCTGCAGTGCTGCTGCTGAGAAGGATACAATTATGAAATCCTGCAGCATTATCACTTGTACTGCTTCGTTTTTACACAGAACAAGTCCCCCACACGCACACACATGCGCGTGTACTCACACATGCACGCACACTCGCACGCGCGCGCACGCACACACACAGCCTGAAGCGCAGAATACGGAAGCAACAACTACAAACCTAACAACACATCCTGCTGACCTCATTACTGTACTGTGAACAATGCAGTGCAGTGTTGAGCAAAACATTTCTTGAAAGAATTGTTTATTTTATTTATACATTTTCTGTAAAAAGTATCTTTTATACAAGTTTCATTATGAATTCCCCTGAAAGTCTCGCAAACCTTAAAGAGCAAGTCAACCCCAAATAAACTTTTTTTTGCTGATAAACTAAATAAACGAGTGTCTAATCGTGCTGCAGACAGGTGTAGTCAATAATTTGGCACTTCAGTGCATCTTAGTTAAAATTTAAATATTCTGCCTAAAACTGGCAGTGTTGTGCCGTTGTCAGGTAAAAACGCTGCACTGTACTTTAATTTAATTCTGCCACCGCTATTGGCTAAGATGTATGCTATGATGTAAACTGGTACATTATGATGTCACAATGCTGTCGTGAGCCTGTGTGTGTGTGTATTTGTTAGCAGCTCCGCCTTCTCGGTCTGCCAGGCAACAGCATTTGTTGCATTTTTCAAACATGAAGTGAGAGTGGAGTAAGACTCTGGTAGGGGTTGACTTGCTCTTTAAACGCAAGGTGAGATTAAATTTGGGATGTGTTTAAAAATAAATCAAATGTACGTCAGTCACCGCGTTAGAAATCATGTGGTAAAAATGTATTCTTTTAGTAACAAAATCAATTTATTTTTACGCAGAAAATCTTACTGTGCCTTAATGTGCCTGTCTTCAATTTAATGAATCTTTCAGCAATTTGAATCCTGTTTTTATTTCTGTGTTATGCTTTCTTGTTGATCACCCTTTAATATTACTTATAACTTTCTTTTGCTCCTGTTATACATGTAATTCCTGTTGCAACACAAAAAGTTGCCAACTGAGGGACAATAAAGGCATTTTCTATTCTATTCTATTCTATTCTATTCTATTCTATTCTATTCTATTCTAGTTTTCAGTAATCTACATAATTTTAATGCAGCATCTGCTTCATGCATCAAGACTAACATTTGATAAGGAAGGTTTTTATTTACTTAACAACATATGAGGATATTTTACCACCGACACCTCAAACTGTCAGTGCCTGAAAAGTTCACGCTATGAAGTGGTAGATCTTTATTAGCAAAGGAAAGTCGTTCATCATTCATTGTTCACACTCCTCGCATAAAACTATAAATATTCATGCAAATTGTGGATCTACCCTCAGTTGTTTCTTCAAAAGACAAAAATAGGTTTTATTCACCAAATTCTTTAGAAACTTTAGATCTTTCAAGCAAAATAAATAAATAAAGAAATAAATAAAGAAAAGAAAAAAACTTTATTCTTCTTACTGAACATTTTGTTCACAAATTTAGCTTAAAGGAATCTTTTGGACCTTGAAGACTGTGTTTTTTGTTTAATCACATGCACGATTATTCTCTGGACAGTCATAGATTGATATTAACCAGACATTAATTTTCAGATACTGATTTGAAATAGTTTTACAAATAAAGCCAAAAAAGGCACAAAATTACATTAATGACAGAAAAGAAACTGTGTTCAGACATTTTATTCATTTATAGACACTCATTTGTAAATGATGAACGTTTTCTGACATCTCCTTGAACTCTTCTAGAAGATGTGCAGGCGGAGCTCAGAAATGTACGAAGAAGTACTTGTGTGTTGTGGTTTTGATGGAAATTTGATGACACAGGTTACTTTGGTATTGTGACCTATTTCAGTGCACCAAATGCACTTTTTCTTTTTGATGCATGTGTGATGGGTGTAAGGTTGGATGTTCCTCTGACCTAGAAAGAACCCATGTGGAACCTTAGGCTACCCACTGGGCAACCCACATCGAAGCACAGAGGTCTTCAGACTCACTTTTTCATTCAACTCTTTTCCACTGAAGTCTAAACGCCTTCTTGGTGGTCGTCTTATTTTTAACATGTACACGTTTCCACCATCCTTTTAGGTAAAACTTCACATCTAATGATGCTTTAAACGAATGTGAAAAACTGTAATGTGCAAAGTGAAAAAAAGAAAACACCTTTTATACCTGTTTGACCCTTTTTTATCTGACAGGGTTATGTCTCATACATTTCAGAAGGAGACCACACATTCTTCTTAAATATAAAAAGAACAGGATCACGTGGATGAACGGTCTTCTCATTTTCTAGTATTTCTCCTAAGAAATATTTGGGTTTGTGTTGCTTTTAGCTAAGAAAAATGTACTTCTGGCTCTATTTTTAACTGTTTAAGCTTTGCATTTTTATGTCATGCTTTTTTGTTTTTCTCTAAATATTTCCAAAACCAACACATTTTAGGAATTTTCTCAAGCAAACTGAATGAGAGCACATTTCTGTTTCTGACCATTAAACTAAATAAAAGCTTTCCAACTAGGTGGAACAAACTTCTGGAACACATTTGAATAAACATGCGGGTGTGTACTATACTATATTTGTACTATTCACTATAAATAACCAAATACAATGCAATGGCCTTCATACAGACTGTTTTTAAACCTTGTAATGTGGAGTTTTTTCTAATCCAGATAACATCAGTAAACATTAAGCAATGAAATTCCAAACCATGTGAGGGTTTTTTTATGCACATGTGCTCTTGCTGCATTAGCCTTCCCCTTTTGTGTTTGTTTGGGGAAAGTGTCGGGGCTTTTTCTGCTGATATCTAATCTGTGGGCAGAGCCATTTTATTACAGTGCCTCTGAGGATTATATAAGCCTTTGTGACGAGCAAAACCACAACAGCTCAACTGACTCCAGACGACACAACAGGTCAGATCGGTGAAGCAGAAATGGTGTCAGTCAAGGTGACGGTAACACTGGTTCTACTTTATGCTCTGGCTGTAGACGAGTTCACAGGTATGTGTTAACCTTGTTTCATTCCTTTTAATTACTCGATTTCGTGCACATGCAGATCCCTTTTAATCATTTTCTTCTTTTTACAGCGTATCCTGAATGCTGTCGAAGATACATAAAAGGCAAATTAAGATGGGAGACTATTAAGGGTTACTCGGTGCAGCCCGCTACAGAGATGTGCCCAATCAATGCCATCATGTGAGAAATATTACATAATTTGCATGAAATATGAAATCTATGAATCGTTTAAAAAATAATCACCTCTCTCTCTTTCTTTTTAAAATCCAGTTTCCACACAAAGATGGGAAAAGTGTGCACTGATCCTGCTCTGAACTGGGTGATAGGTTATGTCAGTCGCATCAGGTAAGACAGAAAGCGTCCAAGAACTATAAAGATTTTACTGAAGCAAACATGCAAAAGGAGAAAGTAACGGATCTCAATTTAATCTCTCTGCAGGTTTGAAGCACAGAAACTTCATCAGAAAGCACAAGCATTAAAGTAGACACCACAGAAGAAGAAGAAGTTACACAGATGGCTGGAATCCAGCCACTGTCCTCCTTGGCTGCATCAAGGTTTATGCTGTTATATAGCTCACTGAACTCCAGCTGTTGACAAAGTAATTTAAAATAATATATTTAAGTAATATTATCTGCTCTGTTGTAAGAGCGCTGTACATACTTTGTTTTATTATTATGGTTTTTGGGATGTCAGGTTTTCAATTTGTAAAGTAAAAGAACTGAAGTCTGTGTTTTGTTTCAGTTTTGTTGTTTTATATGTAATTATACTGACTTCACCCACTTTTAGTCTGTTGTTTTAATAAAGTTGAAAATCTCTAAGTTGTTTTACCAATAAAAACAAAAGATTATTTTTAAAGTCTGTCACATTTCTTTGGATTTTGCTTTTTTACGCATTCAGAAAGAAAGAAAAACTCCAAACAGATTTGAACACAAAATCCTATTTTTACCACAGACAAGGGTTAGAAAAGGTTTTGTTGATCACCAAAAACTTTGATTGCACCGTGGGAAGATTTTTAATCCTCTGACTCAGGGGTGTCAAACTCATTTTAGCTCAGGGGCCACATTGAGGGAAATCTAGTCCCAAGTGGGCCGGACCGGTAAATTAAAAACAACTTCAGATTGTTTTCTTTGTTTTAATACAATCAATATAAAACAAGGCTGGAGCCTGAGGACAGTGTATCCAAAATAGTACAAGTACGACACCTGAAGTGTACTTGAAAATTTGGAAAAAAAAAATCAATCAATAAAAAACATTCCTTAGTGATTCAAAGAGCTTACAGATCACGTGGCTAGATCAGTTTCATGCAGCACTTAAAGTATATTCGATTCATTTTACTTTACATCTTTTAGCTTTCACCAGCACATCAATATCAGAAGTCACATCCTGATGGGCGGTCAACTTCAGGATGTGATTCAAGTTCTTGTGTGAGCCTTAAGCGCAGCTTCGTTTTATTTATACTCACTACAGAGAAAACTTGCTCACAAAGATAAGTTTATTTTCACTCTACATTTTAAAGTATGAAAATAAAGTTTACACAACCATCTCGCGGGCCGGATTTAACCCGTTTGCGGGCCAGATCCGACCCGCGGGCCGTATGTTTGACACCCCTGCTCTGACTTAAACAAATAAGTTAAAATGATATCCAGCCACATCAGTCATGGGGGCCATTCATGGACACTTCTCATTCTGATAAAATCATCCCAATTTAGGCTGTCCCCAAGGCTGTGTGTTATCTCCCTGTTATTTATCCTGTTTACAGACAACTGTACTAGTGCCCACCCTGGTAAGTACCAGTTTGCTGGTCAACCTCCTCCAGAACAGTGAGTACCAACACCGACTGGTTTCAGATGAGGTTCTACCTCTACCCACCTGCTGTTAAACATGAAGAGAAAATAGATATCCATGATGTGAGTCTAAATCAGATTGTCACAAGCTCAAGTTCGGCAAACCCCAGGGTGCAATTGTGACCACTGCCAGTAAGCTGGTGGGTCTTTGTTTGAACGCACCAGTAACTAGAGATGTTTTAACAAAACAACATTTTCATGCTGGTTTCCCTCTGGTAAAAGTTGCTGCTACAAAAACAGGACAAAAAAATCTTTTCCCCGAAGCCATTAGTCTCCTTAATGCACATGGAAGCATCAGCTGTTGTTTTGTCAATTTCTTCCAGGGTTAGGGTTAACAGGTCAGAACTGATAAAACATTTATTTATTTGTTTTTATGACACTAGGTACCACATTTCAATAAGGCTCCTCTCATAAATACCTAATAAATAGTTTAAAACGTTATTAATAAATCAATGAAAACTTCCCAAATCATTCACAAGTGTTTATTATGCATTAATTAAAGCGAGACACTTTCCTGCAGAATAGTTACTACCTTGTAAGAGTTGAGCACAAAGAGAATTTGTAGACATCAGTTTTTAACACTTAATATCACTGTTGTCATTGATGTTATAATTATCAGAAAGAGCCCTGTTGCAGTGTGTGCAGGATGTCTTGGGTTATTTATGATCAAGACAGAGCCTTACTATAAACCGTGTATGCACAAACTGGTATTTAGCTTTTCTAAAATATAAAATGATTCTTGTAACAATAGGTACAAGTTAAAGTCCCATCAGTCATCATCACACGCTGTTGAAATTACATCTCTGCATTTGACCCATCCCCCGTGGGGAACGGTGAGCTGCAGCTGTGGCTGTGCTCAGGAACTATTTGGTGGTTTTGCACGGTGTAAGATGCTAGCAGGGAAAGCATACATGGAACACTACAACCACGTGTCCGGCATCGTGTACAGAAACATCTGTGCAGAGTATGGACTGGAAGGTCAACGTGGGAAACACCCCCTAAGGTAACCACCACGAGCGAACCAAGCTCCTGTGGGACTTTCAGATCCAGACTGACAAAATAGTGATGGAGAACCAATCAGACATGGTGGTGGTGGACAAACAACAGAGGACAGCTGTTGTGGTTGATGTGACGATACCAAGTGATGGCAACATCAGGAAAAAGGAACATGAGAAACTAGAGAAGTACCAGGGCCTCAAAGAAGAACTTGAGAAAGCTTGGAGAGTGAAGACATCAATGGTGCCCGTGGTCATCGGGGCTCTCAGGGCAGTAACCTAAATGGGAGGAGTGGCTGAAGCAGATCTCAGAAAAACATTAGATATCTCAGTCCAGAAAAGTGCAGTTCTAGGAACAACTAAGATACTGCAGAACCCTCAAGCTCCCAGGCCTCTGGTAGAGGATCCAAGCTTGGAAGGACAAGACCTAGCCTGACCAGCCAGACCCATGCATCCTTATGGGAAGCATTATGTCTGGAACTCTTCTATTCAAATAACCCCACCCCCCGAGAATTCTAACTGAGCCAATCAGCGCTGAGCAGCGTACGTCTCACACACACACACACACACACACACACACACACACACACACACACACACACACACACACACACACACACACACAAACACTGAGTTTCTCATAAACAAGGAAGATGGCACCTGAAGCAAAGTTTGCTGTGGCTCTTTCCTCTGTTCTAAAGGACTTGAACATGACTTTAAAACCACAACAAGAAGAATCGCTAAAAGCCTTTCTTCTCAAACAGGAGTGGGGAACCCTGGTCCTCGAGGGACAGTATCCTGCACGTCTTTGCTCCAACACTTCTGATTCAGTGGTTGGTTCACCTGTTCTGCAGCTCATCAAGCTCTACAGAAGCTTGTTAATCACCTGCTGATTGAAATCAGGTGTGATGATGCAGGGCTGAAACTAAAATATGCTGGATAGCGGCCCTTGATGGACCAGGGTTCCCCACCCCTGTTCTAAAAAAAAATGTTTGCGCCGTTGCCAGATGCCATTTTTGACTACAGCTAAAAACCTACAGCGTCGCGCGGTAGAGTCTGCATTTCAGCTTTTTTTCTGATTGGATATTTTTGAGCGTCCCGCCTCTCACGTGCCTCTCTGCCTATGAGCAACCAGACTAGTTCTCTGTGAGAATTAAACAGAGGACGAGTCTGGCAGAGAGTGAGATGGGCATTCCTAAAAAAAGTTTAATAAAATGCATGGAAACCACGAGCTGCAGAGGAAGTTGTTGTTTATTCGGTTTGTTCCTGCAGTTAAATGTTTTAGGGGGAAATTGTGTTTTACTTGCTTTATTTTTGTTGTGTTGTGTTTATTTTGACATAAATGACTAGTATCACGTTTTTCACTCACAAAGCTAAATTTCCCTTATGGAACAACAAATGATCTTAGATATTTTGCTCAGTCCACAAGTAACTGAAGGACAATGAATTTCCTGGGTTTGTTTTTCCCATTTTTATAAGTTAAGTTTTTTGGGACACTACTTTTGTCCTCTTCTTATCCCCTTTCCTTGTTGTTCCTGCACACACAGCAGTGTTATAGGGCAGAAATGAGTGATGAGCAGCTTTAAGAAGAATTGATCAATATCAAAGTCTCATTGGACGTGAAGGAGGAGTGGTATGTTACAGTCAATCAGAATAGGATATCTCACATTTAGTCAACATCTCTTTTGTCACTACTTCCTGCTTCCTTGTAGACATTCCCACAGATAGTCCAGTCGTGGGAATTCTGCACCACACGAACAAAACAGGCTGAGCGGCATTCGGCCTTGCACATGATTTCTGGAGGGAGGTGTCGCAAGAACTCTGCCCCTGATACGTGTATCAGAGCAGGTATTTCCACAATAGCACAAAGGCTACAGAACAAACAGAAGCTGGAGTGATTTGGGAAGTTTTCTTTTAACAGCATTCACAGTTCAGTGAGCAGCTTGCACACACTGTTGAAGCTACTTGTTTATTTTTTTGTTTTTTGTTAACATGATGAAATGTGTTTTTACATTTTCAGCCACCATGAGTCCAATGGGAGTTGTTTTAGAGGTTGTTTCAGATGTAATTGCTGCTTACTTTCTATTCCACATGATTTATTTAGCACATTTTGTGAAATTGATGACTTTACAAAAAAAAAAAGACACAAAGATTGATATTTTCCTATGAAAACTCTGTTTATTTGACCAATACAAGACCAAAGTGCATTGATACATTTACCAATAATTTAAAATAATGCAAATCATGCAGTTTTGTTTTATAAACCTTTTGGATCATACATTTTACATCACATCATTATGTACATAAAATATCCCCAATAGCTGCAGCATGTGCAACTTCTGGTACATGCAGGGGACATGTATAGCAGGGATCTGTAAACATGTCAGCAAAATACATAAATTAATAATGTGAAACTGGTGGAAATCTCGGAGATCGTAGCTGTTTAGGGACCGCAGCCACACACTTTAGTTTTGGACACATCTGCAACCAGTCCTGGAACACTCCAAAGAGAGGCTGCTGAGGGATCTATCCACAATGAGATGATTTATTTATACCTTTCACACAGAAACACTCTTAGAAATGGCCAAAATATCTCAATGAGTTCAAATGAGAGATTTTTTCTATATAGAAATTAGACCTAATTTTTTAATTCAGTGTTCACATTTTGCATTTGTAGCGTTAGACACATCCAGCTAAAACATTTTTGCAAGCCTGAAGCCCAAATCATTCAAATGTGTGGCTGCTTGTAACGGTGAGAGGAAAGGAAGTTAGCTAACTCCCTCTGTTGTCAGTTAAACACTATAAAGTCTGAAACAGCAGCCACAATTTAGCATGAGAAGGAAGTCTATGATCAATTAAAGCTTTTATGAACACCTGCATATTCACAGATTTTAAATTTTTTTGAAACTCACCTTTTTTTTTTTACTGCTCTTTAACTTTACAACTTATTCCCCCAAATGTTCTTCATCTAAAAAAAGTAATTTGGCCAACATTTGCTGTTTTTATTTAAATTAACAAATGAAGCGTGTGAAGTCTGGATGCATGTATCTAAATATCCTGTTTTTAATGGAACTTTGTGGCATTTGGAGAGATTTTAAAATGTCGTGTCACATGCATCACTCTGAGAAAAAGCAGTTTTTCAGCAGTATGTAGTCAATCTACTTTGAAATTGACTTTCTGTCGCTCTCTGCTCTGTGTAGCAGGGTGCTGCAGCTTAAGGTTGTGTGAAAAGGCGGCTTAAATCTTCCTGCTGATGAGGCAGGAAGCAGACACAGAAAAGCCCATTCAGTTGTGCTCAGTTAAGCCCTGCTGTTGGCAGCTAACTCCTATCATATAAACTGTTTAGAGCCTAGCAGAAAGCCAAATGATGAGAGTACTGTGCTAAAAAATACTACATTATTTTTAAAAGTTCAGGTCATGTTTTAATAAATGAGTGCTTCTGTGTGGATATGTGGTTGTATTGTGGATTCGAGCACTGTAGTCACCTTTCGCTATGCAGATCTGCATGGTTGAGAATGACATGTCAACCACGGAGGTGACTGAAGTGTCCTTGAAAGGGACATTCTGCTCCGCAGTCATGAAACGGAATTTAAAAACAGCTTAACTTATACAAACATTTGTTTTATGTTATTTAAATGGCATTTTATAATTAAATTAACCAAATTAACCCTTTAAAATTGTGGAACACTAAAACCCAGTTTTTAAAGCCTTATTTCTGATTATAATTGATCATTCTAAGTTTTTCATGCAGGCTGAACATGAAAATAGTCTCCTACACCTATCTCCTGCATTAGCTCTTGGTAGAAAATAGGCAGTGAAACTAGGATTTGAAAAGCCTGACAGATCTACGTCACACTGTCACTTAACATTCATGTACTCACCCACTTTGACTTGCGATGGGGAGGGCTGACATTGTTTTAGCATCCAGAAAAAGCTGAGAATTTCTCAGCTAGTAGAAGCTAACCATTAGCGTTAGCGACTCCACCACATGGCAGAAGC